ATCAGTAGGAAAATACTAAACATGCCGTCTGCACCCTTTTCACATTATGTATGCAGAAGTGATTTACCTCAGTGCAGCCAGGTGTGTAACGTTGCCTAGCAACAGCAACTTAGATTTTCTATACAGGCAGCAGGAGCGGTTGAGAAGTGGCCCGGGACGTGTCCTCTGACTCCTGCAGCAGGGATGACTGGGAAAAAAAAGTCCTCCACTGTTTCAGCACGAATACTTTAGAGCAGAGGGTGAAAGGCAACGAGAACTGATAGTCAACCATCTACAAAACATAAACTCACTGTACTGCAGACATTAGTCGGCTGGACTTTGTCTGAAGCTGGACTGACCCGGAGTTACTGTACTGTAAATAAGCCACATGTGAGGCCGGGGCTTGATCAGACGTGTGAAACATCCTCCTTCCTGCTGAAAGCATCGATGTTCTGGGCTCGGCCATGTTCAGGAAGAATAACAGATGCAGTAAAATTATTATTTCAACGAAATTCTCTTCTTCTGTGAGCCAAAAAGGGCCTAAAGGTTAAATATGCTGCAGGAAATGTTGTTGGGCTAACTTTCCCCCACTGTCATCCTTATTCTTCACATGGTCTCATTAAAACGCATCAACACAGTGCCTTCAGTGTATGCAGGAGCTCCAAGAACCCAAACCTGAACAGAAAGAAGGAAAAGCAGAACCTAATCATTCCTTCTTTCCTCTTTCACAACCACAACACTTTCATTATGATTGCTGTGGATTTTCTAGGTTTCCCACCTCCCTCCCCTTATTTTACAAGCCCTATTGTGCAGTAACCTGGTTACCGTCTACCGCGGCGTTCAGTTTATCTGGTATCTGGTGGGAATCCGGCTCACGTCAATGCAAATCCTCTGAAAACATTCCAGTTTTGTGTTACTTTTAACGTCCGTATGTGCTGCAGAGACGAAAATGTTGAGTGACATTTTGAAGAGATATATATTCTATATTTTATTTGTATTTAATGGTAGATATTATGAAAAGACAAGCTAACGAGTGCTGTGATGTTCTTACATGTTTTTCAAAAGTACTTATGACTAGTCTGAGAAGATTCCCATGTCTAATTATTATTGTGTTGTGCAGCAACAAAGATTGCAAAATGTTAATAATTAGCTGCGTAGAAATATTCAAAGCCAACCGCCATATTGATGCATCATTAAGTCTCTGTGTGATTTTTTATTTTATTTTTTTTGTGTTTATTGCCATATTTGTAACAGCTTGTCACAACCGATTCCAGAGAGGGATGTTTATTTTTGTAAGACGATCTGTTTGTTTAAAAAAGAGAATTACCAGCTGGAAGGGTGGGAGAGAGAAGGAGACGAGATGAGGAAATAACAGGATGATGGAAAATGAAAGTAGAAGCTGAAGGCAGGAAGAGAAAGTGCAGAGAGGGATTGGTGATGGTTTCATTGAATAGTCGTAGCAATATAGATATGAGTAAGAATCGTAACACAACCATGTTGCAGACTAACTTCTAAAAAGAAACGAGGCATATATTTAGCGAAGTAGGAGGGCCGTTGTGGTAAAGCATTTATTCCCGATATTTTAACGTTCTTCCAATCGTGCTGGATGTTTTGTAATACCCACAAAACAAAATGGTATTTGTATTTATTACCTGTATTTTTTCTATTGTGAAAATTTAAGTACATTGTCTATTTTATATATTAATAATAAATGTTGTACATATTGTACATAAAAAACAGCTCTTGTGGGATTTTTTGGGGGGAAAAAATAGCTGTAAATGTGAAAAAAAAGGAGGAAATTGTACTGAAACTTCAGCAAACAGAGGGTCCAGATAGAGGCTTTGGGATTCCTCTAGTCGTGATTACAAAGATCAGTGGGTAACTTGGTGCTTAAGTGCAAAGGGGCAAAAATCTGGAATCAAGCAAACAGCTTAAAAATTTTAATATCATTACCTGCTGATCCACAGAAGGAAGGAGAAAAAAAAATTGGAAATATGTTCTCAAATAATAAAAATGTATGAGGATATAATTCTAAGTTTTTTTTTTTACTTGGATTCTTAACCCTTTAAAGCCCGATCCAAGAATAATACAAAACAGAAAATTACTTTTATTTGGTTTGAATTCCTTATTTACCCTTTTAACAAAATATGTAAAAAGAAAAAACAGAAATACATTTTTGATATTAATAATTTATTACTATGCGATAAGTCAAGAATATTTATTGTGTAGTCTTCTACTGGCTGTTATCAGGTATATCTGATTGTGTACAATTTCATTTCATTTATTTTGAAACATGACATGATTTTACAATGTTTGCATAGAATGCTACCTAAACATACAGTATGTTTCAAAAAGGAGCAGGATGAAGCATAAGCTTATTAAACCCTACCCCTCAGTTACATAAGTCATGGTGGTAAAGGACGATTACAGTAAGACAAACAGTATAACTTTTTGTGCATTATTCTTTTTTGTATTCATCAAAAATACTTTTCTTATATTGTTTTTTGAATTGCTGGATGCTTTTACAATGTTTAATGTTTTCAGGCAAGCTGTTCCAAAGCTTCACTCCACTAACTGATAAACTGAAGGTTCTTTTTGTTGTTCGAACACACTTAGTTTTGAAATGTAATTTTCCTCTTAGATTATATTTTCCATCTCTATCTGTAAACAATTTTTGTATGTGTGCAGGAAGTAATTTATTTCTTGCTTTATAAAGAATTTGAGCAGTTTTGAAATCGATCAGGTCTACAAATTTAAGAACTCTTGAATCTAGGAATAAGCAGTGAGTGTGATCTCTATAATGTTTGTTATTCGTTACTCGTATTGCTTTCTTCTGCATAATAATCAGTGGTTGAATGTTTGTTTTGTAAGTGTGGCCCCACACTTCAACACAATAGGTTAAATAGGGCTGAAACAATGAGAAATATAATGTGTTTAAAGCTTGTTTGGTCAGAAGATGCCGGGCTTTATTTATAACAGCCAAACATCTGGCCAGCTTTGACCGGATGTGCTGTATATGTCCCTTCCAACTAATTTTATTATCTAAAATGACACCTAAAAATTTTATTTCATCAACTAATCCTAATTGTACATCATCAATACTTAACTTTATTTCACTACTTTTTTTAATGTTTCCAAATATCATGAACTTAGTTTTTTTCAAATTTAACGATAGTTTATTTATATTACACCATCTCTTTATTTTCATTAATTCTTGTGTGACTAATGCAAGTATCTGTTTAAGATTTTCACCAGATGCAAATACATTTGTATCATCTGCAAATGATACAATTTTCATGTTCAGGATGTTGTTCAAGTCATTTGTATACATTAAAAACAAAATCGGTCCCAGCACAGAGCCTTGCGGTACCCCACTCTTTATTTCTAGTAGGTCTGATCTTATTTCATTTAATTGAACAAACTGCTTTCTGTGATCCATATAGCTTTTAATCCATGATAACACTATGCCTCTAATTCCATATCGCTCCATTTTTTTGATGAGTAAGTTATGTTTAATGGTGTCAAATGCTTTACTAAAATCCAAAAATACACCTATGGCACATTTCTTATTATCCACACATTCTGTAATTTCTTCTACCCAATCAAGTAGAGCTAATGATGTAGATCTACCTACCCTAAAACCATACTGACTCTCTGCTAATAGATCATGTTTGTCAATGAAACTATTCAATCTTTTAATAAATAACTTCTCCAAGATCTTTGAAAATTGTGATAAAATGCTCACAGGACGGTAATTTGTAAAACAATTTTTTTCGCCAGCTTTATATAGTGGAACCACTTTGGCAGTTTTCATTTCTTGTGGAAATACTCCAGTTTGGAAGGATAAATTAAACACATACCTCAGTGGTTTTACAATTACTCTTATCAATTTTTTTATAGATTCCATGTCAATATTATTAGAATCTGCAGAGGTTTTTGGCTTAAGTTCATGCACAATTTTTAATATCTCTTCCTCTTCTATTGCATTCAAAAACATTGAATTCTTATTTATTTCCACATTTTTAATAGCTTCAGCTTCTGTCTCATCATCATCTTTGATTTCATCCGCCAAAGTGGAACCCACATTTACAAAAAACTTGTTAAATTCATTAGCAATACATTTAGTATCAGTTATTGTTGTATTCTCATGGATAAAGTAATTTGGATAAGAATGTGCTTTCTTCCCTTTTTTAATAATTGTATTTAAAACTGCCCATAATCCTTTTGTGTTATCCTTGTTCTTTTCCAATTTGGAGCTAAAATATTTTTTTCTGCAGCTTCTTAGAATACTTGTGAGTTTATTTTTATATTTTTTATACCTGTTTTCAGCATCGATTGTTTTCGCCTTAATATATTCCTTATATAGCACATTTTTCTTTTTGCAAGCATTAATAAGCCCCTTTGACATCCATACATTTTCTTTTTTATTTAGAATATCCTATTTACAATAGGATTTTGAGCAAAGTTTTTACCTTTAAATTATGCAAAAGGTGTCAGATACAAAACATTTCAGAAACCGTATGTAAAAAAAAAAATACATTTGGCATTATAGGGTTAATCCAAACCTTGGGAATCTTTAAACTGATCTTCAGGCTGTCTATTGAAGGCATTTTCATTTAATCTATTTATGAAATACTTGTCAGAAAAAAGTAGAGGAAGGACAGGATTAAAATGTCAGATAGAATCCCGACATCCAAACTGGGCCACCTTCAGGTTTCACTGGGAGGTAAGAAGTTGCTGAATCATCGTTTCACAGCTCAGCTCTGAAACATATCAACCCCGAATGATAAAACATGTGGACCAGGTGATGATCCAATGAGCTCATTGAAGCTGGAACACTTGGTCCAGAGAAACATGGATCTATCAAAGCATATAAAATAAATAAATAAAGAGAAATATGGACCCAATAAGCTTTTATTCTTTTCCCCTCCTCCAGAAGTAGTGCTTTAAGCATCAAATACAAACAACTAATAACAAAATTACCGACATAAAAATAGAAAAACGCTTATTTTTACATAGAAGCACTTAAAGTTGATGGGAAACAGCAGCTTCCTCAGAACTAAACAAACATTACAGAAGAACGCTGCAGAGAAACAAGTGAAGGGAAACAATCAGGAGGGAATTCTGGGATTAAAACAGACATTTTTATTTTATTTTTAAACATGAAAACATAGAAATCCAAAAATAAGCATTAAAATGATCTGGTTTATATAGATCTAAAATGGGCTTCAGCTCCAATGTGCCTCTTTCCTGTTTATAGCTAACATAACATCAGGCTCCAACTAAATAAAAGAGCAGGGATTTCCTCTTTTCTCCAATAAACACAGTTATAAAATATCCAGACCTTTTGCTGTTCTCCTTTTACCAAAACTGAGGTCTGGGATCACTTTAGGTTGGTCCCCTCCAGAGCGCCCTCTGGTGGTCACACTGAGCTACAGCAGAGAAGTGAAAGTACTAACAAGTAAACAAGTTGGCATTTTCAGCGTGACTCATTCAGATGACTCAAGAAATCCCATAATGAGTAGAAAAAAGAAAGGCAGCTGTTTATGCTGGGATCTAAACAACCACATGAAAAGAATCAGTGGGAGAACTGGGGTGGTTTTAAACACAGCCCCCCCCCTCACCAAAATATTCACTTTCCAACTGAATCTAACATTTCTGACATTTCTACAGTAACTACAAGGCATTGTTATCCAGATGTTAGGATAAGAAATAAATAAAGTTACACCCTTGGTTCTCAGAGAAACAGAAAGATTTAGTAAAGCCGACCGGCAGTGGTTACCGTGGGCGAGTGCAGACTCAGTTGGAAACATGTTAATCAGAGCCAATCAGGACCATGTGGTTAAACTGCTCAGATTTAAAGTTGAAAAACAAAATCATTGTTTTACAGAGACTGTATAATTTTAGTGCAAAAGGGCAGATTTTAAGTTATTTCCAAAATAAATGTGGTAAAAAAAAAAATAGTTTATTGTTTTAAAATTTAATAAAAGCGCCAAAAACACGAGCTGACATCAGCAGTCTGCTCTGACCTAAATCTCTTTAGCCAACCCGCAGCGGACCAGCTCCAGCAATCTTTGCCGCCCTCCCTTGTGTTAATATCAATAACGACATGGATCGTTGCTGATGACCTTAGCATTGGACCTGGCAGCCAGCCCACCAATTAGCTGAGATCTTTACTGATTATCAATCCATATTCTTTGACCCATGATGCTGGAAACAGCTCTAGGCTCATCAATCTAGATTTAAGATAAGCCAAAGCATTCTGTAGATTATTTTTTTTTTTTGCATGTAAAATAATTAAAATAACTTAAAGATGAAATAAAAACTATAATATCTATAAAATCTTAATATATTTAATAAATATGGAGCCAATGTGGCATTTGTCAGGACACCTAACAGTGATGGTAATGCAGCACAGGAATGGGGACGGGTTGACTCAAGCAGAGAAGCAATGTGAGAGGTGTGGTTGCTTTTGCATTATCCATCCATCCATTTTCAGTCACGCTTATCCCAAGCGGGGTCACGAGGGGTGCTGGTGCTTATCTTCAACTGTCATTGGGTGAGAGGCGTACACCCTGGACAGGGCAACGCAGAGACAAACAGGACAAGCAACCATGCACACCCAAGGAGAATTTGGAGAAGCCCATTAATCTAACGGTCATGTTTTTGGACTGTGGGAGTAGCCGGAGAGAACCCACGCATGCTCATGGAGAACATGCAAACTCCATGCCGAAAGATCCTGGGCTGGGAATTAAACTCGGAACCTTCTTTCTGCAAGGCTGCAGTGCAACTGACTGCACCTCTGAGCAGCCCTGCTTTTGCATTAGGTAGAATTACTAGAGAAATATAGATAATATCTACAAATATCCTCTATCTGCCATAACATTTCTAGGGCAAACAATCGGATGAGAAAAAATAATATTTGCAACAATCCGCAAAAATATAAAAGTAAGGTTCTATCTGAGGATTTCAACTGTCCAAGCACTAAATCAGCATTGTGTGTTACCACAAAATAAGACATTGGGTGTTGCAGAAATGTTTCAGCATGAAGGTCCCACAGACGACAAGCACACAGCCATCATAGATTAGAGTTCAGCAGGCTGGGTGGTGTACCATCCGCTCTCTATGTTTCAGCCCAATTAAGATTCAGCTGCAGTGAGAAGAAATTAAAACAAGTCCTGGAAACGATCTGCACTAGAATTCATCGTCTGAGCTGAGCAGGAGGGTTTTCTCCGTGTCGCTGCGGGGCCCGAGCAGATTGTGTGCGCGCAGAACCGGCGGCGGCGCCCCCTGCTCCAGAGTGGATTGCTGCGTATACTGCTGGTAGGCTGGAGAGAAGTTGTGGATGGCGTCTTGGACCATGTCTCCTGGGTTCATCGTCTCCTTTAGGCTGCTGGAGATGCTCTTCATGGGGGCACAGCGGCCTGAGGAGGAAGAAGGAGACGCCAGCGATTAGGTAAGAAGAGGATTAGATAAGTAAAAAAAGGCCTTAAAACTAAAAATGCGACATTAAGAATAAGCTATAAAAAGCAAAAAACTAAAGGAGTCACATAGATTAAAGGAGTCGATACAAAATAAGAAACAATAAAAAAAATGGGACCTTGGGTAGGAAAGAAATTAAGATTACAACCAAAACCTTTAAAGCCTCACAGCAGGGGTGTAACAGTAAAAACTACCATAATTAAAAAAATAAATAAATAAATAAAATCCATCATTTAATTTTTTTCTAATAACAATAAATATGCAGATAACACTGCTACCAGAGATGGCAAAAGTACTCACTTTCCGTACTTGAGTAAAAGTACAGATACTTGTGTTAAAAAATACTCTGGTAAAAGTGGAAGTACTGATTAAACTTCTTTACTCAAGTAAAAGTAACAAAGTACAGGCTTGTAAATTTACTTAAAGTATAAAAGTAAAAGTAGAAACCACTTTTTTCATGCCGTTGCCTACATTTTAAATGGATGTCTGCTAATAGGACTACATCTCCGTTGTGTTTATTTTCAATCATCTCGTCGTCCATACTACTATGCTAACGCCACCGCCACCAAGCTGCAATGATTTCCTGCGAATGAATACCGCCAAATCTGTCGATTCATCTTGTAGTGGTGCGTCAAATGCAACGTAGATTCCCATCCAATTAGATTGAAATTGGTATTGATGACGTGAAAAATAACGGTAACTCCATTGAAATGATTCAAAACTAAAATAACGAGCCAATTTTTTTAAATGTAAGAAGTAGAAAGTACAGATATTTGTGTAAAAATGTAAGGAGTAGAAGTAAAAAGTCGCCTTAAAAATAAGTAATAAAGTAAAGTAAAAATATCAGAAAAATCTACTTGAGTACAGTAATGAAGTATTTGTACTTCGTTACTTCCCATCTCTGACTGCTACACACAGCAGTCCACACCAAACTAATGGAAGAACAGCTGGAAATGACTTGCTTGGTTTTTAACGGGCACGAACAGCAGAGGGTGCAAAGATAAATGGAAAGCCCCATCGTCATAAACTAATACTTTATATCACCCTATGATGAGACACCAGTATTAAATACAAACATTTTCACCTACAAATTCCTACTAGGTTCTTATATCTACTGCTAATAGCACAGATGGTTTAGCCGTGTCTGCTCTGCTTTGAGATGATTTCATGATGAAAAAGAAGGGAAAATAAATTTGGTTTTTGCACTTATTTCCCTTTGAAGCCGCAACATGATGAAAGTTAAGCTAAAAAATGCACTGTTACACCCCTACTAAAGAAAAACAAACATCGAACCACGAATAGAAGCCAAACATATGTGCCACACACGGGGAGACTGTTAAGATTCATCTGGAGTTAAACCTACCAAACTCTCCATATGTAGGAAGAAGTCCTTTTTGGTGCAGCGCACAGAAGAAAAGACAGAAGTGATGACAGATTCAAACAAAGAGTGTCTTAATTTAGTTTATATTCGATAAGCAGGTAAGAAAAGAGGTGAATGTGGTGGAAGATAAAGAAGAATATCTGTATTTCTAGAGTCCAGGATAACACGTTTACTTCAGTACACATTTAGCAAATATTGATGAGAATCATGCACCTGTGTAATAACCATCATTTAGCTTTCTGACCTCTTGAATTGAGGCTTTTATCCATGTAGACTTTGTATGTGAAGGCGTGTCGTAGGGCCAGCGCTGCAAAAAACATCTCGATGCAGATGATGAAGTTCTGGTAACCGGCGGCGACCGTACCCTCGCCCACAGAAACCTCCGGCAAGTTTATCTGCGGGATCGCTCCACATTTCTCCAAGATGGCCAGCAACATGCCTGATCACAAAATAGGTTAAGATCAACAAACGAAAGAACATCCTTCACAAGTAACAAGTAAAGATTTTAGTCCAGTAGGGCTTTATTTGTTAAAGTAGATCTTAAGTAAATCTTGAAAGACGTGCTCATACCCTGCCAGAAGGAGAGGAAGATGACAGATTTGACCATGAAGAACTTGAGCATCGGGCTGTAGGGGCTGAGAAGCTCCCTGGTGGAAAAGTAGAAGAGGAACAGGGCGTAGAGAGACAGGCTGACTGAGATGTTGTAGATGATGGTCACATACAGGTATCCGCTGGCAACACTATCATGGGAAGTCAGGAGAGAGTTAATGACTTTATGTCCTTTTCTGATTGGTTGTTCTGATAAAATCAGCGCCTCAAACAGCGTCAGGTGGAACACTCACTTAAAGTCTCCATCTTTATATTTGCCGTAGGCCTGCAGGACCACAGTGATGATGGCCATGAGAGGCTTGACCACACAGAACTGCAGCGTGGCCTGCTTACAGAACCTGAGGAATCCTATGGAGTAAGCCTTTCCTCTGAGACAGCAGGTACCGTACATACAGCTGGACCTGAAGGAGACAAATCCCAGATTATAAGGAGGAATTTCAGGACAGAAAGCTTTACACGCACAACATCAGCTTTAAATGAAAAACAGCAAAATAAGGATGTATTCTAGGAACCTACTCTATAGGTTTCCCTCGGATCTCCGCCATGATGGCGCTCTCTCCTCCCAGGTACTCATAGCACAGGCTCAGGAAGTTGTAAATTACAAACGCTACAAAAAAATGACAGAAGAAGAAACTTATCACAATCATAAACATGTCTGACATTTTGGAACATTTTGGTCATTATTGATATGCAAGTCAAGAGAAACAAAGAAAATTATTAAAATAAATTGGGTATTGGTTCAAATTATAAAGGTAGAGATTCATGGTAAGTTGTTTATATAGAAACTTCTAATAGAAATAAAAAAAAAAATAAGGCAGATATTAAAGATTTCAGAGGTCTTTTCAGGTTTTATCCATAACACAAAGAGAATACCAAAATAAGAATATCTAAAAAAAAACAAACACGATATCGATAAAGCTAAAGCAATTCAGCTTTACAACAGCTTGAGGCATAAATCTGTGTTGCAGTCTGGTGGTTCTGGTATTGATTGTCCTGGTGACGTTTCTCATATAGCAAAGCTTCAGAAAGCTCCTGTAGAGGCAGGAGAAGTTTGACCGATGCAAATTTTTAACGGCAGATTGTTTTGACATCAGTCAATGCAATTCACACTATGTGCTGCTAACATATATTCGGCAATTCTTGTAGCTGATATAGCTTTATCTTCCTCCATTTATATGATAAAAATGACAACGGTAACAAATGTTACACAGGTCTCATTTTAAACAAGAACATTAACAATATATAGGAAATGGAGGGGAGTGGCAACACTTGCACTTCATATGATTTCATGAATCGACCCACATCAGCCGGTGTAGGTACCAGATTGACTCGGGCTGCCAGATTGACTCGGGGGCCTGCGCCTTTTGATGATGTCATAATATGGCAACTCCGCCCGTCACTATATGGCAACGCCACTCGTAACGATATGGCAACTCCACTCAAACAAACTACATTGCGCCCGCGGTCTCTATTTGTCACAAATCTATTTTATTTAGCCAATAAACGGTAATCGTTTGGCACTGTCCGTTAATTGACCAAATACCTATAATACATTAAAAGATTAATTTTTCATTAATTTTGTTTACAGATTACAGGAAATGGGTATATATTTTTATTCAGAGGGACTTTAATCTCTGAATATACTTTGTATTCGTAGTATTTTTGTTTTTGTAATATTACAAGTTTATTTTTTGTATCCCTTTAGCTTCATTCTCCTGAATTTATTCTCGTTACAAATGCAGACCGCAGGCTCAATGTAGTTTGTTTGAGTGGCGTTGCCATAATGTGACGTCATCGGGAGGCGCAAGGCCCATGGCGAATTCGGTGACGTCATCGGAAGGCGCAGGGACCATGGAGAATTTCTTCGTAAAAATGTCCATTTACAAACCGCAATCCCGCTTTCGAATAAAACCTACACCCCGCTATAATTACTTTAGTAAGCTGTCCAGACCAATCAAAATGTTTTGCGCAATTGTGCAAACGTTAAAACAATTATTTATTGTGACGTCATCAAAAGGCGCAGGCCCCCGAGTCAATCTGGCAGCCCGAGTCAATCTGGTACCTACACCGGCATCAGCCGATACCAAAACAAAAAAAACAAACAAAATAAACAAAAAAATAAATGATAATATCGACCAAAAATACAGTTGGTCTATCTATAGTTTAGGGCAATATTAGAAGTACTTTTCCTCCAATGCATTAAATCAGATCCTAAAGAAAGGGGAAGCTCCTTGGTTCCCCTCTCTACTTTTTGCAGGGCCCTCCTGTTTGCTACTTGGAGCTGGATACTCACACCCAGTTAGGCACATACATACTGTATAAGAAGTTGTTAAAAGCAAAGGCAATTAAGAAAACTTCTAAGCAAAGTAAATATGTGGTCTGTGAATGACTAGAATAAAGCAGGGGGCGGAACACAACCAAGAGTGGTTCCAATGCTTGGTGAGTGGAACTAGAGGTTTTATTTCAATGCTAAATTGGCAAAGTGGTGCAGATCTAGATCTGGCTAAGTGATACTGATTTATGAATGGCAATGACAAATGCTGCAGATCTAGATATAAGACTCTGGTTTAACAAGATAGTGAGAACAGAGCACTAACAAGTGCTCCGATTAGCCATTCACACAGGAAAATATGGATTATTTCAGCGGGTAAAGAGAAGTGCTCCAATAAACATGTCAAGAAATGACCTCAATCAGCTAAATCTGATCTTTATTTTAACTTTAAAGTGCATTTACTGACTTGCTTTTAGATCAAATAATTAGACTATAGAAAGAGGGAATGCCTGTGTTAAAACAACACCTGCACCCCCCTCCCCCATGACTCTACCAGGATTAGCGGGTATGGATGGATAAAAATGAACACAACATACAAAGACAAAATAAACATACTACAACCCAGTTGTTTCTTCTTCTGCTGAACACATCAGACTCTTTCCTCCGTCTCCACGTGTTCAGACCTCAGTTTTAGCCCCCTTGGAATAAATGTAACGAGTTTATGTGGTTAGATGTTAATTCACGACAAGCCCTAATAAGACAAACCACTGAATAATACTCCCGTCTCTGGTGACCAGTGGATTATGTATCCACCGTGATGCTTCGCTGGGGGGGGCTGAAGAAAAACACAACCAGGCTAATCCTGCTAACCTCTGAGGAATTCTCCATCTCTCTGCTTGTACGGCAGAGCAGACATACCTGTCTGACAGAGTGAAGGAGAAGAACTAGAAGAGTGTTGTAAAAGCCGGGTATGTGGAATGGGTTGCTGCTCTGCTGACAAGGTTTTATTTAACCTTTTCTCACTGTCTTACTACCTCAGCACACTGTCACTGTGTGTGGTTGTCTGTCAGATAAAACCCAGGTAGGAGAAGCGGTCTTGTCTTCATACCAGAAGCCAGTAAGCAGATGAGGGTTGATGTGCATCAAAGGAGGCCTCTCTGCTACTTATTATGCTCTTTCACTCTTCCCCAAGGACGCCTGACTGCAGCGCCAGTTTCCACAGCGATACAGTAGGCCTACATACAATGAGCCGGGGAACTTACAGAAGAACTCATTATTAGATGCAGGGAGATTGGTTGATGAAGAGGATTTCTGAGGATGGTTGCTATGCAACAGGTTGGTAAGAAAAAGATCTAAAAAGGGGCTTGGCTCGACCGTGCGAAAAGCAGAAGAGGAGGCAGGAGGCGGAAAGACGAACGCACGGAGGAAGAGCAGAGGACAGATGCATCGTGAACGGACGGAGGGCGGCGGCAATGTGACGCAGAACAACGACGGCTCTATCGCCCACAAGCAGACTCATACACAGAGCCCATCCGGTTCCACGTGTGACATCAAGAGCTCAACCAATCAGGATGGGACTATTTCTGTCCTGAAGAGGAGAGGGAAGAGAAAGTCAGCTGCTTCTCACCCACCTTCCAGCAGTCAGGCTTCAGGACAACAAAGCCATCAGACAATATTTGCTGCATTTGCGTCACAAACTAAACAGCTCTTATTTTATCAGCAGGTTCTTCTTCTCTTTTCCCAGAATATAATTTCCAGAGTTTTTAGTCTGTCTTCAAATTATAAAGGCAAACGTTTACTTAGAAGGTGGACATTTGTAAAATCGGACTTTAAGAAAAAGAGAAGCAACCAAAAACTGAAGAAAGAATAGACTGATAGGAGGATGTCCTTACCTTCGTAGCAGTCCCTGACTGTATCAAAGTACACATAGTACTGGTCATTGGTGAAGAAGAGCAGGCTGAGCCAGGAATCAAAGGCGTAGATGGGAACAATGAAGAGGATCCGCACAATATGGCGCTGCTCTCTTGGTGAGCTGTAGAAACGGAGGTGCATGTAGATCTGGGAGACAGCAGATATATTTTTTTAGTCTTCAGGTAATATGTATGATTATCGTTACAGTTTGGCCAAAAGATAGCCATCTTTAAATAAATTAACATATACTCCAGGCTGGATGTAGTGAGACTTAATGATGTTTGATGGTAAAAAAAAGTTTGAAAATTTAAACCAGAATCAGGAGAAAAAAATGTTTGTTGACTTAACTTTCTATATTTTTATGAATCAAAACTATAACATAAGCTCAATCATTTTACCAGAGGAAGAAAATCTAGACGTTTTTTTATTTTTAGCAAAAAAGGGTTGTTTTTTTTTTACAAAGGCTGCACAATATATCACACATCAATCCTTATCAAAGAAGTGCCAGGAATGTAATAAATATTATGTTGATTTCCAAGTTCTCGCATTCAGGCTGTCTGTGCCTAGAATATATATTGTTAACACTTTTTGAAGTTACATTTTGATAAGATCAATAAAAACAAACTAAGTTGTTTAAATGCAAAAGCAGCTCATCTGTTGGCTGGAAGCAGCTGTTTCAATAAAAGCTTGAGATGGAAAATCACTCTTTATCTGGGTTCGCTATAAAACCAACACTGATTAATTCAATTCAAAGTATTTTATTAATATCAAAGGAGAATAACATGTTCTTACAAATTAACTCAGATTTTTTTCTCCTGTTTATCAAAGATATTCGAAATAAAAAACCTGAGGATTTCTGACTAATAAATAACCCATTAATTCAAAGCATGAACCTTGATATATGTCTTTAGAGCTTAAAAGATGTTTAATAAAGGTTAAGGGCAGGTTAGATTCAAACTTATTACTTTAATCAAAGATCCAGAAGGACTGAATTGGTACAAATCTGAAACAACGTAACAAAAACAAAAGACCTCACTGAATCTCTGATACTCTGAGACACTTTTACCTGGTGACAGGTGAGGATGAGGGCCGTCCAGACGAAGAAGCCAGACACCGCCTGCGTAGCCGGGGACATCAGAAAGGTGGGCTGGTCCGTCCCAAGCAGCGGGGCTTCGGGGAACCAAGAGATATTTGGCCCCATCGGGACAACGGTCAGCGGAGGTTCGGGCAAACCGACCAGAGGCAAGTCACCAGCCGGCCTCTCTGGCTGCGGCACGTCTCGCCTCCACAGCCTGAACATCTGGAACGGGCCGCGCTGCTGTTAAGTATTCACACCCCTGCAGAGAATATAAAGACAATAAAAGACGGTCGTTTCTGGATTTAGTCATCAACCGCTGGTGTGATCATACCCTCTGTTATCAGCGGGATTTGTAATGGGACACAGGAGGTCAGAACAAACCCAGTTAAACAAAGTTAAATAAACCCAGTGCAAATCCACATTTCCCTTTTCTCCTGAACAATGCGCCGTTGTGAGTCCTGGTTACAGAGTGTTATCACTTATTGATTCTTTTTAGTTTCTGCACTGCAGTGGATGCCTTTGGATCTCTGTCACAGAAGATCATGCAAAACATGACTCACAATGATGTCCAAAGTGCGGTCCGTGGGCCATTTGGGACCCTTGAAACGATTGTGTGTGGATTATAAAAAAGACACACACACAAAAAAAAAAACGGCACAAGTTTGTCCATCTGGCCAATGGAGCAGATGCAGATGGAATGAGACAAATGTAAATCTTAAATAGAAAATGTTTGGTTTTAAAAATGTTGCACCAAACCAGAATATAATTTAAAATGAAATTAGTTTGCTTTTTAAAAACGTCTTTTCTTGGTGATTATTGCTCTTGGAAAAATTTTTCCACTTTGTTTATTTGTAAGAGAAAAAAGGACTGAAAAACTCTCTGAAAGAAAAGTTTTTATCCCTGTTTACTAATCAAAGAACATGTTGTTGCATTCTGGTTTTCACTACACTGTAAAAAAGTTAAATAAAAATACTTAGAATCTAAAAAACTTTTTTTTTTATTTCAGATGCAATTAAAAAAGTCATCAGTTTGACCTGATTATTACACATTCTGAGCCATTTAGAGTCGTAGGGAAGCGGCTGTTCCAAACGTTGCTTTTCCAAATTCCCCCGAGTGATGCCCGACTTTACAGAGAGAATAAAATGAATGTGATTGGTCGTTTATCTAGGTGGCGGGATTGTTGTGGCGGAAGGTTCGCAAGCAAGTTTGGTTGTGGCCAGTGTCACAGAAGCATCTTGCTAACCAGTTAGCAAGTTAGTGCTAGTAGGTACCCATTGGGAAATTCCTTTGGGACCAAGTAGCAGTAAATTGGTGACTTAGAAACGACACTGTCAAGGAACGCTATGGACAGTGGAAACATGCAAGAGGAGGAGAGTTTTGTGTCGGAGGTCGTGGATGAGTCTACTCCATCATCCATTTTTTATTTAGAGAAGGAAAGCGGGGACGAAGATGTTGTGGAAAAGGACGCCAGGGCGGCAGAAGCTTGGTTTGGTGTAGAAGGCTTAGAGCCCTACATGTTTGAGCCCTTGCCTCGCATCGCTGCCAGTTCTGTTAGCTCTATGCCTGCCGAAGACACAGACGTCCATCCCCGTGAACACTGGGACGGAACTCAATGGTAAAGTACATGATTCTTATTTCTTATTTCAACCATTGCGTATATTAGCTGGGACATATTAATCATGATGCTATGACTGAAAAAATGTGATTGACAGATGACCATTGATATATGATTGGCCGAATTTAGGTGTTCAGGCTGACTTATAACTAACTGGCCTGCAGAAGATAATGAAAAAACTCCAAAAACAAACAGATTTTAAGGCAGGATTTTTTAAAATATAGAAAATTTACACTTTTGGGACAATATGGTCTGATAAAGAGTACATTTATATACACTTTAAGGCAGAATAATTTGACATTTAAATATGACTTCCTTATGACTTTAAGACAAAATCAGACTATTTGGTTATCTAGTAACTGATCGCCTCCTCTCTAGTAACCAGAAGATGTGGAGGCATCAAAAGCAGCCAGGATCACAATAGGGCTGCAGTGAGGAGAAAGGACAGCTGGGGGGGTTCATTTGGGAAGGGGAGAAAGGTCAACTGGAGCATGGTCGCAAACAGACACACACACACAGTTACACAGTGGAATAATATATTAGAGGCAGGGAGAGAGAAATAAAGCAGCAGATGGAAAGCAGACAAAGTGTTTGTAATTCCCAACACAATGGGTAATAACATTGGTAACACTAAGACTGGATTATCCTCATGTAATAAAACAAATCATTCATTTTCACGCCTCTTATTTGTTCTATTTTATATCAGACAAATAAATTGATAATTCTGCTATTGATAATGAAACTGCTGTTTTTTTTTAATATCATCTTTTTGCTGCTGTAAACACCAGAATTTCCACATGGTGAGACAATAAAGGGATTTTCTATTCTATTCTAAATCTTTGATTGCAGAAAGACTAAAACAAATCAATCAAATTAGAAGTTGACTTCAATTGTTTTTATGAACTTAAAGTAATAATACTATTTTTTCTAATTCAATAACCATGTTATAAAAATGATGCTGACACAAATAATAAAGACTTTGTGTTTGTGTGGCATACAGAGCCATCAGTAGGTTAAAATATCCACCCCATAATCAAAAACATGTTAAATCTGATATAAATGTACCACTGTTTATGTTCAAATTGTGATTGATTTATTTTCTAATAAGTACAGGTGATTTTGTTATTTCGAAATTAGTTATTGAACAGAAGTCACTGTCGACCCCTGACCAGCAGAGGGCGCGTTCGCCACACTGTGTGTTCTCGGTCATTCAGAGAATGAGGACACGTATAAACTGTGAAGCTGATATACGTGTGTGGCGAACTCTGATTCTAATATCAACATTTTTGGCTCTTTGCAGAAGAAAAATAAAGCGGAATTTCAAATTAAATGTGTAGTGGAGACAGCTTCATTCTGTACCACGCTACATTTGGGAGGAGGTGATAGTTTTATGGAGTCCAGACTAACCTGGTGAACCTAATCCAGAAGCTTCCCCGGCAGTAACAGAAACACTCTTCGGCACCAGGAGCTCAGAAAGAGCCTGAAGTCTTCCTCAGTGGAGCCCAGCTGCTCCCAGGACATCCATGTTGGCTCCGACCCGTCAACTCTCAGCGCCTCCGGCTAAACAAACAAAACTAACTTCTCCTCTAAAAAGTTCAGCTCGCATGTTCCGCAGCTCTTTAACTCTGTTTTCATCGATCTATTTAGTTCATTTCTGAAGCTTACACTCGGTGTTTGAAGAGTTTTGGTTCGGTTCGCCCTCCTCTTTCTCAATAACGGCTCCGCTATAAAACCAATCTCTGCCGGATTAACGCCACATCACAGAGGCTCCGCCCATTGGAGCAGGATCAGAGGCTCTCAGCCAATAAAACGAGGGGCACCGCGGGTGAGGGCGGGGCTTACGTCCAGAGCGCAGTGAGTTTGCGCAGTTTTATTCTGGGAATCGCAGATGTTGATGGTTCCCACTTTTTTTTCTTTCCGGTCTGTTTTCTCCATCCAAACTTTGGCTCTGTTCGAAAACCTAGGACGGGTCCTCCAAGGACGCGGTCTACCTAGACTGGATCCTTCGAAGTCCTTGAAAATAAGGAGACCGGAAGAGTTTTGGCTGTAAATTCGACCAGGTCTACCCTTCGGCGGGTTTTACCACCGTATGCTCTGTTGCTTAGCAACCGTGAACGTTGACACACAAAGCAGGAAAAGAATGAATACAGAAGTTTTCAAAACTGTTTATTTATTTATTTTTTATTGTGAAGTGAACAAAGACTACACTCACAAGAATCCAGAGTGGAATAAAGGTTCCAACCACCGGGAGGAGGAACAAATCAAATCAAATGTAATGATAGAAACCTTAGTCAGTTAAATAACCTGCTGCTGTCATTCTGCACATCTCTGATGTTGCTGCTATTTTCAAATATCCATTACTGTAAAAATGTCCATAGCTGCATATTGGTTATTTATTCCCGTTTTATATTGTTAAAACACTTTACAGTATTTTATTGTTTATATTTTAACTCTTCCCTATTATGTTATTCTTATACATTTTTCTAAGGTCCTCATCTGTGTGACCATTTTCAATAATCTTTCTGCTGCTGTAAATTTTCCCATTGTGGGAAAATAAAGGGATTTTCTATTCTATTCTATAAAAGGGGTAGAAAGATAAGTAAATCTAAACAATATATTTATAAAAAAAATATATCTGCAAAATCTCTAATATTCAACAACAAAAAATACGAAGTTAAGCATATTGTGCAAAACAGCAATAAAAAGATAAAAATCCTATCAGATTTATAGTCCCCACCCTGCAAATATATTAGAATCTGTCCTTAAATTACAGCCAAACCCATTTACACAGTAACAGATTAAAACCTTTAGATAAATCAAACATTACCGCCACATATCTGACTCAATAACCATTAAAACAACTATTTTCATTCATCTCAGACGGAACTATTCACAGAGTTGTATTATATTAAACTGAACTTCCAATTTTCACCACTGTTCGGCGCCAAATAACCTTTCCTCTGATCACAGCTTGCTTGGTCTCGCAATGAATCCTGGGATATCCAAGAATACCGAGGATACATCAGACCCGTCCTTCAAATCGGGCAAAAAGAAGGACGCATTTTAAGGCCGCATAACGAGGACTCTTGGAATCCGACCAGACCTCGGCGCCGCGCTATGACGTAATCAGCCTTCGAATCCGGTCTTCTAAGGATGCGTCCTAGGTTTTCGAACAGAGCGTCTAATATTCAACCGTTTGCATTTATTTTTTTACTCTTCACACAGTTTTACCAGTTATTTCACTTTACAGTGTCCACTTTAGTCTTGAAGTCAGTAGTAAGTTTTTTACATTATTTTAGCATTTTGTAAAATAAATTCCTGAAACCAGTTATTGAAATACAATCCTTGATATGAGTGTTAGTTAAATTCAAATGGGTAACATGGTTATTTTTTATGATAGATTTTTTTTTAAGAAAAAGCACCATGGTTGGTTCTAGGCAAATTTTACCAGGGGGGCCAGATTGGGGCCAATGTGTATTTATTTTCATAAGGGCACAGAGCAAAAGAAGAAAACAACAAGGTTATAGGTTATCATTGAATATATATAATATGAGCCAAACTGAAGCTAAAGGTGCAACATCTATCCATCCATTTTCCATAATGCTTATCCCAAGCGGGGTTGCGAGGGCTGCTGGTGCCTATCTCCAGCTGTCTACGGGCGAGATGCAGGGTCAACCTGGACATGTTGCCAGTCCATCGCAGGGCAACACAGAGACAAACAACCATTCACGCACACACTCACACCTCACAGAAATTTAGAGAAGCTAATTAACCTAACAGTTGTGTTAGGTTAATTAGCTTGTTTTGGACTGTGGAAGGAAGCCGGAGTACCCAGAGAAAACCCATGCATGCTCAGGGAGAACATGCAAACTCCATGCAGAAAGACCCCAGACCAGGAATCAAATCCAGAACCTTCTTGCTGCAAGGCGACAGTGCTAACCACTGTTCCATTGAGCAGCCTAAAGGTGCAACAATTTCATGAAAAATATATATTATTATATAAAACTGATTTGGTATTATTTCTTCAATAGAGGGGCCATTTCAGGGGCCAGGAGCAGTTCCATTCGGGGAGCTGGCTGCTGTTAGCCCCTGTCTAGAATCGCCCATAATTTTTCTAAAACATTTTTTCCTTTTCTCGAAATCTTTGGGGTAGGATAATTGTCAATAAAAAAGTGTGCATAGACATCTGAAATTTTAAATGAAAGTCAATTATGTAAATAAATGTAAGATGAAGACTTGCTGCATCAGTGGGAATACAAGTTGAGAAGTTATGAATACAACTTGCAAAGTTACAAGTATGCAAATGTACTTGTACAAATCACAAATGTAGCTGTACGGGTAACAAGTTCATGTAGAATCTAAATTTATGAGCACAAGTCCCAAATATATGAGACTAATTAATACATTTAGGAGTAAAAAACACAGGTTTATTAGTAAAACTCACAACTTTCTCAGTACAAATAAAAATTTTACTCTAAGATTTGTGAATTCGTGATTAAAAATCAGAAAAAAATATAAGCTGTGCATTTGCATTTGTCCTCTCTGCTGCAATAAATACTTTGTAGAACCGCCTCCCAGTTTACATGTAATTTTTGTACACCCCTAACATATTGGTGAAGATTCTCATAGGTCATAGTCATTCCAAAAATGTTTTAAAAAGAAGTTAAAAAACAAATCTCTGGACTTTGTTTTCCATGTTTGAAGAAGTTTCGCTTCCCATCCAGGAAGCATTTTTATTTCAAAATGCCTGGATTAGCTTTGAGTTCTAGGCTTTATAGAGTAACCCAATAAAGCCTTTAATTATATGGCCTAGAAAACATGCAAACTCAACCGAAGGAACAGGTCCACTCCTTAATAACGGGGAGTCGTTGAGGTCTTTGTTAGCCTCCCATACCCAATACTGGCCTATGCCTCTGAAAAGGAGTCATTTTAGATCCCTAATAGCTCAAGCGCACGTCTTAAGGTCTGGACTTTAACTTGGCCATTATAATAATAAGTATTATTATCTATCTGAAGTTGCACCTCCACTCCAAGCTCAGGTTTTCTAGCTTCTAACAGGGATTTTCTTCTGGATCGATGGAGGAATTTACTTAGATCCATATTCCATTCCACTTCCTCTGATTATCTCCCGTCTCCTTGTTGAAGAAAACCATCCCCACAGCATAATGGTTTCACCACCATGTTTGGATGGTGTGTTCAGGGTGTGCAGTGGCTGTGTTTCTTTTGAAGCTTAACATATGTGCTGCATCCCCTGTGTTAATTTTAACCAACTACTAAAGGGTTTCCTTGTTTCACTCTTCCATAAATACCAGATTTGTTTTGTGTAAATAATAGTAATAATTGTTTTTTTTAATCAATCAATCAATCATCCAAAATGTTGATCTCTACAGTTCTCTTGAATTACCCTTTTATTTAAGGATATCAAAGTAAGACAGGGTTTTATTCATTCACACATTTCTTCACTTTTCACTTTATTGTGATACACTTGATTGGAGCTGTGGCAAAAGCATGACCAGGACTCTGGGTAGGGTGTGTATACTTTTATTGAATCAGAAAATATACACCAATATAGTCATAAAATCGAAGATAAAGAATTGTACAGGGAAACAGTCATTTCCTTGCAGTCTCTGAGATCCAACCACTCATTCATTCATCTAGACAGACTTTGGTCAAAACATGAGTTCTTCTAAATTAGTGCTCTGCATTTATTTACATGAACCTTTCTGTCATTGTCTGCCAGAGGGATCACCTGATCATCTCACACTGTGTGCAGACACCAAAGGTTTATCAAAGAAAAATAAGCTATCTGTCACAATCTTATGATCCGTATCTACACGTTTACTGTTCACACAGACTTGCTCGCTTCCAAGGTCCTTTAACTTCCCCACCTCTGCCCATACCTGGAGTTACAAGCTGCCCCAAGGCTTCGTCAAATCATATAATCTGCTTTCTCTCTCACTGAATCGGCATTTTATCACAGGTAAGACAGGTGTGTTACAGGACGGGAACATTTAACAAGGGGTAGATCATATTTTCCCTAGATCCTTTCAGTTATTTCCTCAGATTCCTTAAAGTAAAGCTGAAGGAAAAACAAAAGTGTGAGACAAGAACACGGACAAAGATGTTGACTGTTAAAAAGCAGCAACATTTTCACTGCAGACTTTCATTCTTTTCCTCTGGTTCTCTCTTTGATTCCCACTGCAGCCTTCTCTTCTACAAAGACCTAAATATACTTTTATTTAGTTTCCAAGGTTGTGGCATTCGACTGACTCCAGATATTTACATACTCTGTAGACATTTTTTTTTATTTCATATTCTGACATTTAATAAAACCAAACTTTTTTTCCTTTTTTATGTCAGTTAAGATTATGGGTTTTTTTTCAGTTCCTATATATCAAAACAATGAGAGAATTTTTTTTAGAGAAATTTAAACAAGTTTGTAAGCTTGAATTCAGTTTGAAGGAACTTGGATAATGCTCTGCTACAGACAGGCGACCTCTCCAGGGTGTACCCCGCCTCTCGCCTATAGACTGCCGGAGATAGGCCCTAAAGGAATAAGCGGGAGAAATGGATGGATGGATGGATGGATGGATGGATGAAACTTGGATAATGATATTGCTTTTTAAACTTCTGGGAAATTCAGCCACCCATGGATGTATGTTAAAGCAATGCTTCAAACACTCTGCTTCCGTGTGTGGGATCAAGGAAAAAATCTATAGAATTTAGCCTGGAAATCAGGAAGAGAACTGCAGACCTCAGCTAATCTGGTTCGTTCTTGGATCCAATTTCCAGATGGCTGAATATTCTCACGTTTATCTGCTTGATTAATGATTAAGTTTTAACAGCCAGTTAGTCAAGGCATCATTCTGTTCTGGAAAGTGTGTTTGCTGAAGGCATCAGCTGGGACAAGGATGGATCTTCCAGAGGGACAGTGTCTCTTAGCAAACTATTAGATGAATTAAAAAGGGGTTTAAAGACAGTCAAGTCAAGCATTTCACCAAACTTATGTATGATGTTTGGAACTCAGGTTACCACCCATAGCTCTCCAGGGAGAAAGGATGGTGACTTTACTAGGAAGTGTGAGCGTGGAACCTGCTGTCAGAGTAGCAGGGTAGGAAGAGGCAGGTAAAGGAACATGTCCAGCAGAGAGGAGATGTTAGGGGTCTTTCCTACTTCCTTTTCATTACATTTGACATCACAGCCAGAAACACTCATGATCGGAGTAGAAATACGTAAGGAAGAACGGAAAGGCATAAAAAACAAAAATAAATCAGCTAAAAGGATGAATGTAAGTAAGGCAGCCTACAAAGTGGATACATTTACAGCTATAAGGAGGAATGAACCAAAAATTAAGGAAAGGAAGATGCGCAGAGGGAAAAAAACAAAGATGAATTGAAAAAATTCTGAAGTTTAAAAGGTATTTTTTAGCAAATATCAAAAGAAAAGATGGAACTTCAGAATATGAAGATCATCAGCATAATTTCCTCTCTCTCTGCCATTTTACACATTTTGTTTTTCATCTGATCTGAACTAAATCAAGGAAATTATTTTAATGTGCGACCGTGAAAATAAAGCTTGTGGGTCTTTTTATACCAAGTATGTAAACATCTGGTTTGGCTGTAGATTTAATCAGAATAAATAACACCAGAAGCAGCAGATTTAGCTTTTTAACAAAAGAAAACCCATAGCTGTTTTACTGATTACACGTCTAAACCACAGCTGTGTAAATGTAGTCCTTTTTGTGGACTTTGATATTTTCTTTCTTTTTTTATGCAAATTGAGCTGCTGCATCGATGTGAAGGTGAATAGGAGTGAAGACGGGCCTAGGCCTTGTAAAGTTGCACCCAGCTCCCTTCACTCACCACTAGTTTGAAGAGCAGCCTTAAGCAGGTCCAGGATGCAGGTTCTTCTTCTTTTTACTGGTTTCTCCGTCATCTCCCAAGGCTTTGGCACTGCGCATGCTTACATGGCAAACCGGCAGACACACAGACAGACGCTCTGGGTCTTCGTTCGCAGTGCTGCCTCTTCGTCCTCTTCCTTTACTCATTCACGTCTTCATTCGTTCGATTTTATTTGAAAAAGTCGGGGGTGTTAGATGCCCTTAGGTTTCTGAATAATAAAGGACAAAAATAAGAGATGCGTTACGCAACCTAAGGGTTAAATACAGTCTTGAAATGTAACCCAGTTTAGAGTCAAACAGATTCCTTCATAAAAATTAGACTATGAACTTATGCTACACAGTTTAGTTTTAATTTCTGTAACTCAAGTCAACCCTTGTCTTAACCTTGCAGTAAGTCCAGGTTCAGATGGTGTCAGGCCCAGATTCCGGAAGGCCTGTGCAGAGCAGCTCTGTGTGATTCTACAGCATCTCTTCAACCTTAGCCTGACCCAGTAGATGGTTCCAGTGATGTGGAAGACCTCCTGCCTTGTTCCAGCACCAAAGACTCAGCCAACAGTTCTCTGTGACCAAAGACCTGTGTCCCTAATATCCAGCATCATGAATGTCCTACAGAGACTTCTGATGATTCACCTCAACAAACACAAGCAGCATCAGGACTCCCTGCAGTTTGCTTATCACTCTGGAGTTGGAGTTAAAGATCCCATCATGCGCCTGTTTCAAAAAACCAACTGTCATTCAGACAAGGCAGGCAGCACTGTGAGGATCATGTCCTTTGATTTCATTTAATACAATTCAGGTTGACTGACTTTGTGAGAAACTCAGTTGGAGGCACCAGCAGTTGCCTGGATGAACGACTACCTGACAAACAGACCACAGTTTGTTGAACTGAAGGGTCCAACTGTCTGTAATCAGGTAGGATCCCAGGAGAACCAAAGGGGACCAACTTTAGTCAAAGGCTTCTCCAAACCCCGTAGATCCTTCCTGCCTACAGCTATTATCATTTAGAACAACTCCTTGAGAAAAAAGAGAACCCTGTGAGTAACAAAACACTGAATTTCCATTTGGGATCAATAAGTATTTTAAAGTGAATTGAATCTAAATTTTGTGGCATGTATTTACAATAAATTTATTTTTTTCATCCCTAAATAGAAACATGAAACCAACAGTATTCATAAGTCACCTAATTAGTGACTAGAGTCCATCTGTGAGTCATTTATTCTGTAGCTGTAGTGTTTCTGGCTTCAAAGGTTTGTTAGAGAACATATAAGAAAAACTACCATCATGCAGAGGAACACAGCAGAGAGGTCAGGGAGGAAGTTGGGACTTTAGTTAAAAGCAGGTTTAGATTTTAAAACATTATCTATAGCTTTAAAAATCCTGATTAGCTGCAGAGATCCAAAGTTAAGTTGAGAGAGAATCTGACCAGAGGACAACTGAGCTGTGCCTTCCACTAATCTGACCTTTATGCAAGCCCATGAGAAGAAAAGGAGCACAGTTTTTAGCTGCTAGGAGATATGTTGATAAAAATGGTTCTGCTTAGATGAGACCAACCTGAATTTTCTGGCCAAGATTAAAAGACTCTGGCAGAAACTATTGCTAAAACAATGCTCTGCCCATGGTGTTGGCAGCATCAGGCTGTGGGTTTTCTTTAGCAGGGATAGAGAAGCTGGTTAAAGTTGATAGGAGGATGGATGGAGTAAAATCCAGATTATTTCTGTAAAAAAACTTGTTAGAGCCTCAAAGCACCTGAGACTACAGGGTGAACATTCATCTTTCACCAGGAAAAGCACCATAATCTACAGCCAGAGATACTTTACTTTCACTTTATTTTTTGGTAAATGATAAAAAACAATAGTCAAACAAACCCTCAATTTACCAATAAATAAGGAATAGGCTGAAGCAAAGCTTATTTTTGCCTACCCTGTTTTATACTTACAACCTTAGCAACCTACCAGGTTTTGCACAATACGTATATACATATTTAAATCTACATAATAACATAGGATTTTATCATTTTACATTTTAAAGCTCTTTTAAAATTCACCAAGAAATGACATAAATTAAAATCATCATTCAATTCATTCCACAGTTTCACACCAATAACTGAAACACATCTAGACTTTATCTGTCTCTTCTCTTTTGCACATTCAAACATAAACAAACCTTGTAAATTACATTTATTCTCGCTTAATTTAAATAATTCATGAATACCAGAAAGAAGACTTTTGTTCACTGCTTTATACATTATTTCCAGTATAAAATAGGATGGTTCAGATCACAGCCGACACGCACAACAGAAAAGTTGGTATTATCTGTTGTTCTCCATCCAATCTGACTGAGCTTGAACTGTTTTAAGAATGGACAAAAGGAAAGAAGATGTAGAAGATGTTTGATACTTTTATCTAAAGTGACCTATGAAGATTTACAAATCAATCAATGCTAAGTTAGGTTGAGAAAAGACTTCTAGTCTGATCCTGACAAGCAGAAAAAGAAGGTGCACCTTAAAGGTTTTGGGCTGTTTGAGGACCAGAGCCTTTGGATTGTTTCGGACCTTCTGCTGGTGTTCACAATCATCCTTTTCTTTGTTCTTTATTATTAAATCCCTTTAAAATCCCCTTGAGTTTGCTTCTAACACGTCATAATCGAAAAGAGTTCAAGGCATATAAATACTTTTAAAAGTAAAATAAAAGAATTCTCACTCTGTCTCATTTTTTCTATTATCTGGTCTCGCATAAGTATTTGAAGGCTAATCTTCATGGATTCTAGGCTCAGCAGCGTTACTGTTTTTTAAATAAAGAGAAAATCAATATCACAGAAGTATTACTGACCTGCAAAACTGCAAGAAGAATGTCACTTTGCCAGATGTTCAAACGGCACACTGACCTATGTAGTACAGGAGAAGAGAGCAGTTGAAACTCCATGTTGATTAGTTGTGTTGTGTTGATTAATGTGTCGTCTTGCAATTATTTCATTTGCTGAATATATTAAATGTGTCCTCCAAACATTAGCGCCTTTTTCAATTATTATCTGGTAATGTCTGATGCTGTTCCTTTTGTGCATAGTTAATTAGAGGTAAGCACACCTGATTCTCAATAATAAAAAAAAGCACAATCTGCATGCATGAAAGTTAAACTCTCAACTCTCAAACCTCTTACCTGTGATGCAGTGATACGAGACTGGTCGAGGCGTGCTGTGAGGTCAGAGGAGGAGACATTGGCGGGGGCGCCACGGTGAAGCCTCATGGCCACCTTCCGTTCTCGTTCAGCCCTCTCTGCTCTGCCTGCCTGAGGGGAGCGGTTCCCTGCACACAGCAGTACGCACTGTTTTCATCCGAGGCTTGTCTTATAATAGCCTTGTGCCATATCTAAAAAGCAGCCTGACCTGATGGCTGGGCTCCACGGGAGGCCTGGTTGGAAGGAGTGGTCTCTGGCTCGTTCCTGACTCTGTTGGCAGCGCAGGGGTTTGGACCCGGAGGTAAAGCTCGACCCCCACCTCCTCTTTGACCCGCACCTCCTCGTTCCTCTCCTTCTTTCCCCTCCCTCCTCTCTCTCTCTCCATCCTCTGCTGTCCTGCTGGATCCCTGAAACACAAAGAAAATAACTTGTTTGTAAAAAAACAAACAAACAGCAACCTTGACATAAAAAGGCTGGTTAAAGGCAACCATGCTTATCTGCATGGTTTCACTCATTATATCAGAATTAGTCCTTTTGGTGTCTGTTCTAGATGCTCCACTTCCATCATAAAACTTTTCATCTGTAGTAAAAACTTGCCTCCGGACTGGACCGCTATCATTAAGTTCTACACCAAAGCTGCAATTTACAAAGCAGGATCATTGGTAATGTAGGGTAAGTTCTGGGGTAAATTCCTACATATCCGGGCTTTTCCGATTCAGAAAGCTAGGACGGCATGTCCCTGGGTAAAATCATGACAATAAACTCCTATTTTTCAGTTGAGATAAATATAAGATAACAAAATGTTATAAAAAACAATTATCACCCTCCTGTGATGGTGATTAGAGCATGATTAAATATTTGATCTATTTTTAAGGAAATATTTCTTCTTAAATGTTGCTTTAATAAAGACATGAGGTTTTAATACCTTCAGGAAGCCCCAAAAAATATATATATTTGTTTTTATGTTTCCAGTACATGTACAGTAGGAAATATCAGCAGTGCGAAGATGGCCAGCAGCACAGTAAATGTTTTGGGAATCAAATCATTAATCGCTGCCTGTTATGCTGCATCTGACCCATATTCCGTGCACTAACAAAAATGATTGTGTGCAGAATGATACATTTAACAAAAAAAAACATTTCCAAATGTCACGTTTCTGTCATTTACCACACTTTTTAAACAAAGCTTTAAGTCTTAAATTCACTGGCAAACACTAAATATAAATGTTAAATCTATGTCTAAATATTATGGCCATTTTTATTCGTCATTGAATTCAATAAATAAATAAAAAACTATTGATCCCAAAGGGAAATTATATTGTATTAACTAAAGGCCAATTTTTCAATGAGTTGCTATAGGTGTTGATAGATGCAGGCAATCTATTTCCAAATTATGCATCTGTATATGAATGTTATTTATTTCTTAATCTTCCATTTAGTATATATTTTTTTTTGTGAATATTGGATGAATAACAAGTTTAACAGGAAAGTTACTCGACTTTAAGTTAATTTAAGTGCATTTAGAGGGAGAGGGGTATGAAAAATAAGTTTTACTTCTTCATACCCCTTTTCAGACAATTTACATTAATCAAATGTCAAATTTCTGGCTGCATATACAGACAGGTTTATTTGGTGGAGAGTTTTGTTTCTATTTCTGTTCAGGTGAATTTCTTAAATGCTCATGCATGATTTAAATTTTAGAGTTGATTAGATGCTGGGTTGGTTACCCAACTTGTATCAGCTGTTCTGAAACAAGAAAATCTGAGTAAGGAAGACGGGGTAGAACTACTCCGGGTATCTGCTTACTATTCATGGTAGGACGGCAATTTTCTGTGAAACAGGACCCTGGGGAGGAGCTTAAATGCCTGATTGTAACCGGATAAGGTTTCCATTACTGAGAAAAGCAAACACTCACAAACTTCAGCATGTTCCAGTCAAAGACGTAATCATAGGAAAAGCCCTGTCTGTGGAAAAGGTTCCTGAAGAGCTGCCTCAGATAGGAGTAATCAGGCTTATCGTCAAACCGCAGAGAGCGACACAAGTTCAGGTAAGTAGAGAATTCAGCTGGAGGGAGAGAGGGGAGGGAGGATGAGGGTCTCAGACATATCTGAGAGGAAATCTGTGCAGCAAGGTCTGCTGGTCCAGTGACCCACTCACAGGGGTATCCTTTGCAGAGCACCTCGATGGGGGTGGACATCTTCTTCTCGCTGATGCGCTCGTACTTCTGCCTCTTGGTTGCAGCTTTCAGTCCTTGCCAAGGCAGAGAACCCAGGTTGAAGTACATGAGAACGTAACCCAGAGACTCCAGGTCGTCTCGCCTCGACTGCTCTGTGGACAAAAAGGGAGGAGGGGGACTAGTGAAGGAATGAAAGGGGAACTCTAAGAACTGAGGCTTCCATGGTAACTGTCTACTTACCGATACCCAGATGAGTGTTGATAGAAGCGTATCGTGCCGTCCCAGTGAGGTTCTTGTTCTCGCGGTAAGGGATGTGCTGGTGTGTTCTGGCGTCCCGGTACTTCTTTGCCAGACCAAAGTCGATGATGTAGACCAGGTTGCCTTTCTTCCCGAGGCCCATAAGGAAGTTATCAGGCTTTACATCTCTGTGGATGAAGTTCTTAGAGTGGATGTATTCAATCCGACTTATCTGTGGAGAAAAGTGGACCCCCATGTTCAGTGTCAGAGTCCATTCATCCTGCTCCTACAACCCGCTCAGAGATAACTAGTCTATAGCCTACAACTGCATTGCCTCCTATAACTCTTTTATAGATATATAATTATATATTATATTCTATACATATAACATCTTTTTGGGTAACTTATTTCTTTTTTTCACACTTAGTTTGTACTTATCTTCTTTTGAGAATCTTCTTGTATCGATAGCAGTTTTTTATTCCGTGCCTTTTTTGAGATCTACCTTTGTCCTGTTCTTTGCAATTGAAGACATACTAACACATTTCTGTTGTTTCTAATTCTAATACAAATATAATTAATTAGTTTTCATATTTTAATAATAAATTTTAATCTGAAACGTTTTCATATATTTAATTATTTTCATAAAATGTTGGTAGACATATAATGTCAGTTTGCATATTTCTTAGCTTGCCAAGTAATAAACCCTGGATTACCAGTTATCTAAAGGAAATGCTAATAAAAAAAAGAGCCTTCAGGAAAGAATACAGGGAAGCATTGATGAGTTTAAAGAAGCAACTTAAGGTCAAAAAGAGAAAGCAAGGAGGCATACAGAAAGAAATTAAAAGCAAGCTCCAGAAGACACAATGTTAGAGATTTGTGGTTAGGGATAAAGAAAATTAAAGAAGGAGGATCAGACAGATTGGAGTCTGGACATGGCCAAAAAAACTAAACACATTATTTAATAGATTTATTCAGCAACAAGCTCAGCATCCTGCCCACAGTCAAAACTGCATCCTCTCCTTCTTGTACCCAAAGATTTCCTCCTATACCTCTAATGATTATCTTCCACCCTCCTGCTTCTATGCGCTTGTTTTCAACCAAATCAGAATATAGAACTGCTCACTCCTCCGTCCACCTGTCTGTATGTAGAAGTCAAGTAAAGAGGCAACTATACAAGAAGAGACAAAGCAGACTGTTCTTCTTAAGGAGGCTTAGGTCCTTCTGTGTTTTCAGCAAGATGCTGCCGATCTTCCATTAGTCTGTTGTGGAGAGTTTGATCTCTTCTGCCATCATCTGCTGGGGTAAGAGCATGAGAGCAAAGGATCTCAAGAAGCTTAACAAGCTGCTTAATGTTAATTTATTTTAAAGATAAATTCTTACCTCTGACTTCTTATTTTTCTGTTTGAATTAATAAATACAACAAAAGAACAACACCCCGAGGAAGTATTTGCGTTGCTTTTTCTTTTATTTCTGTAAAAATTGAATCAATTTGACTGTATTTTGAATCAATTTGACTGTATGATCTGGTTGAACTGTAGAGTGCCTTGAGATTATTTGTGTTGTGAATTGGCGCTATATAAATAAACTGAATTTAATTGAAATTGAACAGTAGAAAGCGTTCCAAGGAGCGGCTAACCAACATAAAGTACACTAGAAATTCATCAACTAGTTATCTGGAGAGTAACAAAAGAATATAATACAAAGTTCTGTAGACCTTGCTTCCTAAGTTCATAGTTCATGACTCAACAAATGCAGAGAAAAAGAGAGACTGAACAAAATAAAGGTTTAAGGTCTGAACTACTGCTAACCCAGATGTACCCAAAGGCCCATCACATATTTGATTAAGTACAAACATTCGAGAAGCTGTGCTCTTCTCACATTATGAGTAAAACTAACATAATTTTTCTTTACCAACAATAAAACATGGTGGTGGCAGCATGATTGTCGTGGCAGCCTTGCTTTTTCAGGAACTAGAAGGCTTCCTGTAATTAATGAACACATCTCTACCGGAAAACCCTGCAGAAGAATATCCAGCCATCAGACATTGATCCAAAGCACATCAACAAGTCGATATCTGACAAGCATGAGAAAACCAATTTAAGGTTGTGCAGTGGCCTGGTAAGAATCTGGACTTAAATCTAATAAGAAACCGTTGGTGTTGGAAAAAACTGTCAGTGGGGCTGCAAACTTTAAATAATCATGTACAACAGAATCAAGTTAAAACTCCTCCACTTTGATTAAAATGACTCATTTGATGAGCTGAAAATATTAAGAAATGACTAAAAACCCAAAGCAGCACTGCACTTCTCAAACTAGCAAAGACAAATGTTTCCTCCCTGATCAGCCTTTATTTAACAACCCTTTTCTTTGGGAAGTGCACCTAAACTTTGTACGCACAAAGGATCTCATTAAACAGCAGCAGCAAAAAAACACTTTACTTTATGCCCCCTTAATGTTCAGTTAAGGTCCTGAAAAGGGAAGGTGGCCTGTATGAAGTGACCTTGTTTATTTTAGTACTTCTATCCCTAAAATTGCGTTTCTGTATGTTTATATATTGGTAAACACCCTCATTTGGCAAGAGGTCTTACTCTGATGAGAATCTGCTTCTGTTGGTCTTGACTTACACAGCAGCAGCAGCAGCAGGATCTTAGTTTTAGAGAATTGGTCCTTAAAGGTGAAATGATTGTTAAAGTACTTAGTCCTCAGTGTGCGGTCGAATATTAGCTGAGTCTGTTCAACTCATCAATTATTGTCAGCCTTTCTGCTGATCAACAGAGGCAGTCCAAATTTTAGTTACACTGCAGCATCTTTAGAGGAGGAAGTAGGAGACGGGATAAATCACAAGGACAGGAGAGAAGTTAAAAAAAAAAAAACTACCAAAAGCTCTTAAGAAAATAGGTCAAAGCTGCCAAGAGAAAGTCAGACAGACAAGCAATCTGAAATTTGGATAATGAAGAAAAATGTTGCTAAAACATATTCAAGGTTCAAACATTTTAGGGCAAATGAATGATTAAAAATGAAGAGAAATACATATATTGGATTCAGATTTAGATTTCTGTCACAATGTTGAAGTGGTTTAACCTGCAAAGGACCAAAGTTGGAATCCTGTTTGTGTCAGAAGGCGAAATGGCATAAAAAGATTTCCAAGTCTGTGATCAACTCCTAATGACATTCTGTGGTGACTCCTCATTATGAGAACAGCTGAAAGGCACACACATTTATAGATTTTAAATGAAACAATTACTCGCCTCTCGCTTGATGACCACTGGGTACAGAGGGCCGCCCTTACTACGACACCTTTAAACCCTATAACCTCATGGATATACATATAAATATTAACAGTAGATTTATTCTCCTTGAAACCCTTTGCACATTTTGCTGCTTTGCAAATTTGAACTTTAAATTATTTTACTGGGATTATGTCTAATAAAGTGATGCATGGTTTCCAAAGCCTATTATAAATAAAAATATAAAAAACGTAGAATACATTTGTATTCATCTACCTTACAATCATCCATGCACAGACCTGCAGCAGAAAGGGGGTCTGTGTATTGAGACACATGCACAGCTTAGAAAAAAAGAGTGAATATGTGAAAAAGTCACATCTTCTTTCAACATCTCTGATATGCTTAGACTTTCTGTCTGCCTGAAATTCCAGTAAAAAAGACTAAAGTCTGTCACTCCAATAAGACAACATTGTAAAGAAATGTAAAACTTTTTGGTTGGGCATGATTCCGTTCTCCTATTTTTTACCTTTTTTTGAAACAGCTTTCCATCTTTTTTTTCAGTGGGGGGGATTGGGTATTTACAAATACTTTAAATCCTGATCCATTCTGATTGTGGCTCTAAGAAACCTAGGAGCTACACCTAAAAAAAAATGAGAAAGAGACTCCTCAGGAAAACAAAGAGCATTCCATTAATTATTAATTTGACACCCAGTCAGCGCATCTCACCATCTGATCTGCCAGCAGCAGAACGGTTTTCAGGCTGAACTTGCGGGAACAGAAGTTAAACAAGTCTTCCAAACTGGGACCCAGCAGCTCCATCACCATGACATTGTAGTCTCCCTCCGCTCCACACCACTTGATGGCGGGAATTCCCACTGAGGGGAAATGAGAGTGTTAAGAAACAGGAATCGTAATCCTTCTAATCTTATCTTTAAATGTCTCACCTCCTCCCTGCATCATTTTGTAGAACTTGCTCTCAATATGGAGCTGCGGGTGTTTGGTCTTCACACATTCCAGTTTAATGGCTACCTCCTCTCCTGTAGCAATGTTGGAACCTGGTGGGCAAAGCAGAGGATACAAAGGTGCAATAACACTGAGCAAAGAGATGAGGATTTAGAGAAATATCATGATTATACAGTGTGTTCAAAGGTATTCACATCCATGACCAGATTTCTATTTCTGGTAAACCATCATGTATTTTTCTTCAAATGGGCAGGAAAAATTTTAGAGGCTGCAGAAGAAATGAGAATTGGCTGAAGGGTTAACTTCCCCCAACATCCAGTCAGACATACTACGGGATGGTTTAGATCAAAGCAGATTCATGTATTAGCTGGTCACAAATCATCTAGGTGACATAGCCAACATGGAAAAAGGGGATTATTAATTCTACTTATAAAAAGCCAGATGTGGAGGAAACCAACTACTGTACAGGAACCACAACACACAGTTTTCTATGTAATACATGGGTATGCAACCATTATGCTGTGGGGATGCTTTTCTTCAACAGAGACATAGAAGATGGGAAACAGTTGGGAAGATGTTTGAGCTAAATCTAGAACAATCTGGATAAAAAAAATAAAAGAAGAATATGAAATATAAAGGTTTCTGTCTTCAGAATGCAACAAAAAACGATTGTACAGAGTAAGGGAGATAAATTAAAACATACAAAACACATTTAAGATTTTCTTTTGTTGCATAAATTCCATTGAACTTGAATATAGATCCCAAAATGTAAAAAGTTTCAGGAATACTTTTGTAGAAAACAGTATGTTAAAAAATAATAATGATAAAAACCAAGGAAAATATCCGAGAGTGCTGAAAGAAAGCATGGATTCTCACCAAGATAGATGTCTCCAAATGACCCGCTCCCTATCTTCCTCCCGAGGCGGTATTTGTTCCCCACGCGTAACTCCATCGCCCCTGAGCTCTTCACCTCACTGTGGAAACAACATAAGCAGTCACTATCAATCCATCACTGGTGATCAATAAAGTAAAGAAGAAAAAGTGGTGCAAAGCTGCAGAATATAAACTCTGCTGTGTCACGAGTCCAACAAGTAAAATAGAGATGATGAAGTGAAAATGATAGAAGAAATGATAAAAGGTGAGGAAGATGAAAGGAAAGAGTGATGTAACTCAGAGTGAATGGGACCAGTGGAAGCAGCAGGAGAAGCAGTGAGTCCACATGGCTTAACTAACCAAAGACTGGAACTAACAGCTGAACTGGGAGATGCAATAGGCCTAATAAACTCTGGGAACAATTTTAGCAAAGCAGGATGAAGTAACTTCTATAACATCAAATTCTCCAAGGTGCAGAAAGAGAAGCTGGGTCAGCTACTATTCTCTTAAAAGGAGCTCCTGTGTTCAAGTAATAATGTGCATTAACTCCGGATTACTGACTGGAGCTCGTTGACAAAATTCCAATGAGTCATATTCTCTTTAACCAAGCTCCCTCAGCCAAAACAGGCCATGAAATGTGGTTTTAAAGTGAGAAATTACGTGATCTACACCTGCATACCCACAATTCACATTTAAAATGTAACAATAAATAAATAAATAACGTTTTTATAAAACGCCACCAATGTCAACGCAGACTGTTTTTACAGATATTCTATCCAGCTGCTCCAGAATTATGTCAGCCAAAAAAAACGACAACAACAAAAATGCAGTTGCCCCCGATTGCTCCGGCGCTGAATGCAACTGCACCATCAGATCCCAGTCCTAACCGCGCCCTGCAGCCCTGCACGACTGTTTCGGTTCTGTTTTCCCGACCCGAACCCCGCTAACACCATCACACTCATGCACGCCTGCAGACACCTTGACAAGGCAACGAACAGCCCCCACAGAACCACACCTCCTTCGCCTCCTCACCGGCTCCGTGGTCGCTCCGTCTCACTCAGGACCATGGACAGCGACGTGAAGACGAGGCTCGGGACGGATCATAACCCTCGGAGATGCGTGACCTGAACCCCTCCACGGAAAGGTGAAAAAACACTCGAAAGATCCCTTCCTCTCTGAGATATATTTTTATTTCATTTTCGAGGAGATCAGAGGGAAAAAAACAAACAAACCCTAAAGGTCCTTGTTTCTCCCCTGCGTGGCTGCTCCTCACACCCAGTCCTCTCTCAGTTTACAATATCAATGATGTCATCCACAGACAGGCAGAGATGCCCGGATTGTCTTAAAGCAGCCTCTGCAGCTCCTGTGGTGAAAAGCAACAGTAATGTAATACCTATTTAAAGCTTACGCAATCAGCCCCACATTCATTTTCATTCACCGCGTGAGATCTGTAGAAAAAAGCAGGAACTTGGATGTTTTATTGATCACACGGTGCTGTGCATGTTTCAAATCATCAAACAGATTAAAATATTATTTCATTTATAATATGAATTTATTTATCTGAGGATTTTATCAATGGACTGATGAAATCATAGCAAATACAGAAAGATGGGGATCCTATCCAATCCAACCCTGTGTGAAAATGTAACTGCTCTGGTAAAATAGTAAACCAGCTGTATTGTCCTGTTCTGTATTACCAAAGGATGATTGAACACAAACTGTCTACCAACACAGAAACTGTCTGCCGACATGAAGTAGGCCAAAAGGTCCCCAAAAAAATCAACCCAACATCCACCAGATCTTAAGAGATTCAAGAACAGATGAAAAACATCTTCCAAAACATCTTTGGAAAGGCTTGCAAAGGAATTTCTAAGGCTTTGGTGACCCGAGGAACCACAGTGAGAACCATCAACCTCAACTAAAAAAGGAAAAAGAAAAGACAAAACATGGAACTTTAAATACTTTGAAGATTCTTAGCAAAGCTCATACACCCAGAAAGTCTAAAGCACCACACACTGCCGCTCAGCTCTGGGTAGAAATTGTTGAAGAGTAATAGAAGGAAAAACCCCTCTGACCCTGAAGAACACAATGGACCATTTCAGATTCACCCAGTGGAGATTTTAGATCATTTTTACTTTGTCCACAAGTTTTTATGTAAACACAGAACAAAAGTATAAAACAAAAAACAGCCAATAGTTCATAGACTGATATATTAACAACCAGAACCAGAGATCTATTTGAAACTCTAGAGACCCCAGATATATCAGACAGAAAGTAGGGGCACATCAATTTATCAGCCCTTATTTTATTTTTAATTCTAGGAGATCGGTGATCGGCCGATACTTAGATTTTAAAACAATCTTAACGACCGATCTTATCTGAAAATCAGCCACCCTCAATGCTCTAAACGTTTTATTTATATTTGAGAGATTAATCCTGTGCAGTTAAAATAAATTTTTATTATTTCACAGGTATTCTTTTATTCCCAGTTCCCAGGAGACTGAAACATTAAATGTTTATTTTGAACTAAAAACAGCTGTTTTAAATAAAATATAGGTATTGGTCCAAATGTCAGGCTTTTTAACCCTGTAATGCCAAATGTATCATATTTGATACATATGTTTCTGAAATGTTTTGCGTCTGACACCTTTTGCATAATTTAATGGTAAAAACTTTGCTCAAAATCCTATTGTACACAATCAGATATACCTGATAACAGAGGGCAGAAGACTACACAAAAAATAATCTTGACTTATCGCATAGTAATAAATTATTAATATCAAAAATGTATTTCTGTTTTTTCTTTTTACATATTTTGTTAAAAGTCCAAATAAGGACTTCAAACAAAAAAAAAGTAATTTTCTGTTTTGTTTTATTCTTGGATCGAGCTTTAAAGGGTTAAAGATTGGTTATTGGTCAGAAAATGACAATCGCTGCAGCCCTAGGATTGTGATCCTATTTGTATAAGACTGAAGCTGAAAGTGCAATAACTTTGTTTTAGGTCACTGTGAAAAATAAACTATAAATGTAAAAAAAAAAATAGAGAACAATGAATTATGGTTTCTGTATCAGCGCATAAAATCATGAGAAATTCATTTAATATTAAATCCTCAATATGGGGCTGTAACAGTGTCTAGAATCACCCATGCATTTACCTTAAAGTCTTTTGCAGAAGTATTCTATAATATAAATCCATCTATTGTCCCACAATGGGGAAATTCACTCTCTGCATTTAACCCAAAACTTGGGGAGCAGTGGCCTGCCATTGTGTGGCGCCTGAGGAGCAGTGTGGGTTTAAGGGTCTTGCTCAGGAACCCAGAGTGTATGTGGATCGAATCTAGTACTTGCAATCTTCTCAGAGCACAAGCACACTGCTCTAAACACTAGGCCAACACTCTCCAAATATTTAACACAAAGTATATGAACATTCTTTTTCTAATTTAACATTTCAAACTGGCTGCATAGTGGCCCCAGTGGTTGCCCTCTTACCTTGCAGCAAGAAGATCCTGACCTCTTTTTCCCTAGTTTGCATGTTCTACTCATGGCTGCATGGTTTCCTCCAATACTTGAAAAATATGACTGTTTGGTTAATCGGTCGCTACCATTCATACTTCACTTTGATTTTCTGTTTGTGCGTCTCTAACCCAATGACCCTGGAGATTTGTGCCTTGCTGTGATCCGATTATGCAGTTCTTGCATCAGGAGTCATTTCATTTGATCGCAGTTTATGAATTTACAGGACTACGAAAATGATCAATAAACACACATGTATAGATGTCTAAATTCGTGAGTCATTCATGTAAATAAATGTAGAATTTACGTTTTCTTGTCAACTCAGATATATGCGAGATCAGGTTTTTCATCTGTGAGAATACAAATTAGAAAGTTAAAACTTTCCAAGGAAGTATGTGTAAATCACAAATTTACCAATTTGAGTGCAAATTACAAATTGAAGCCAACTGATCTGAAATTTCTTACATAAAAGAAATCAGACACTCAAAATGCTAATAACAGATTTAGGAGAATTAATCAAATTTACAAGAACAAACCACAGATTTCTGAGTAGGGATCACAAATTTACTCTGTTTTTCATTCTAAGTTGAAATTTTCTAACCTGTATTCATCATTTCTAAATTTGACAAATATCTGAAGTCACATGAATGTATGGGCTGAAATGAACTATTCCTAAATATATTTAACAATAAGAATTACTTATAAACTAAGACATCAAAATATTTTTTATTGTTATCCTGTTACTCCAGATGAGAATCGGGATAACTAAGAGTATTTAACTTTTTAAATATACTAAAACAAAAATAAAAATATCAAAGTTCAGAAAATTTCTGAAGCAATTAAACTTTTGAATTAATACTTCAATTTAAACTTGAATATATTAAAGATTATATCATGAAAAAGCCCAAGCTGTCCCAGAGAAATTCAGGTTAAAAGCAAAAAAATAAACAGGGGAGACTTCAACTCAACCTTTATTTTGTTCTTTTCTGCTTTAAATTAACTTCCTCAACTTTTTGTAACATATGAAATAAATGAAAACATCCTGAACAGGAGTGATGATAAAGACTGACTTAATTTAAACGGATACATAACAAAAAAAAAACAAAAAAACACAGTAAAACAGGTAATGTCTTTAACGTGTCTGTTAAACACTGTTCCAGCTCAGCTTGGTATGGTAGGACATGGCATCTTTACACAAATGCCTTCAGTTTCTTGCTTTGTCTTAAAAACAAAGCATTACTCTTATTGCATTTGACAGAAAAAAAAATAAAAAATACAAACAGGAACAAAATGCTGCTTAAAAAGAAAAAACATCTGACATAAGAGACGTATGCAATAGTGCCAGATTTGTTTAAGTCAGACGGTCAAGCACGCAAAAATTAGCACACATCCAATCGCCGCTTTTCTCTCCAACGGAAGATGTCAGAATGGCATCCATTCACTTCCCAGAATGAAACCAGTAAGTGTTCAAAGGTTAGCATACACGCAAACACAAACATTTAAAAGTGGGAGCAAAAAAAAACAAAGAAAAAAAAAACACAGACACACCCGACATCATCTTCACATACTCCTGCTTTCAGCCAATGAATGTTGACACTTTTCATGCACACACAGGCAGGCAGGAGGGCAGCTTTACAGCATGTAAATAAGTGATCCAAGTTATGATTACATCAAATCCATTTCTTGAATAAAGAAAACAAAATATTAAAAAATACAATAGCGAGGTCAGTGTTTGAAGGGCAAGAAGGACATCTCTGTACTTCCACAAAATTTCACGTATTTTGTTTCTTTTTAAAACATAAAAATATGATAAACAACCAACGTACACTGACAGAGAGAGAGAGATACAACTGTACTTGTCAAATATATAAGCAGAGAGTAAATGATGAGAGGGTGCAATGGTGTTGAAATGGCAGGGCGGCCGCTGGGTTCTCAGCCAAGGCCACAGCTGTTGCAACGTTTCAGCGTCCAGTAAGGTCCTCAGTTCTTGTGTTATAGCACAGTAAAAAAAAAAAAAACAAAAAAAAAAAAACGAGGAGGGATTTGTAGAGGAACAACAAACCCAGAGGAATATAGTGCAAGTTTGGCTAATGATGCTTGTGTTTTTACCCTGGGTCCCTCTAATGGCGAATTTCCAACCACATCGATGTGTCAGTACCTACAGACAAACTCATTTCTGCATCTCTGTTACAGCTCATCCTTTAGATTCAGTAGTGTGGTGCTGTCCCAGATTCTCTACAAGCTCACATCCTCTTCAAATCCATCTCGCTTTCAAGCTACCAATCCCCTGCCCTCCCCGAAAAAAACAAAAAAAACAAATGAAGCCTGGAGCAAAGAATTATGCCAGCCAGGTCTACGACGGCTCAGTCTGCAAGTCTGACTTTTGAGATCTGACCATTAAATCGTGATACAAAAGAAAGGAAGTGGCACACTAAAAACAGCAATGGCTGAACTGGCTGACATGTACGGCTCTGGCTGAGCCGGTCTACAGTGCATGCCTGAGTGATCGGGTCTCTGGATGCTGATGGTGAGATTTGGAGTAAAAAGTCCTACAAAGTTAATGGTTTCACCTTCTTCCCCCTTTCAAGTTTTCCTGTTCTCTTCTTTTTAAAGTCGAGCAGTCTCTGTGTGCATGTGGGCCGTGTGTAGTAAGTGTCTCTGGATGACCAGTGTAGCTTCCCATCTTCTGAGTAAATGCAGAGTGAAAACGTGAGTCAGTCGTTTTGTCAGATTGAGTCGGCGCCCCCGCCCAGCAGGTCCCCTGGCAGCAGCGCGGCGAGGCTGCCCATCTGGTGACGATCCTCAAGTGCTGGAGAACCCCAGAGACTGCTGCCGCCGCTGGGGTAACCTGCCCCGCTCATTCCCCCGATCCCGCCCCACAGACCCTGCCGCCCTGCCTCCATGGCTCCAGCTCCTCCCACCCCGGATCCGTTGCTGCTCCACTGCGTGAAGATGCCGAGCGCGGGCCCCTGTGCGGCGGACGGGTCCGATGAGCTGCCTGTACTGTCCAGACTTTGCCACCCTGAGCTGGAAGACGTTGCTACTCCAGCCGGGGAGGCGCCTTCTACTCCTCCCCCGCTGAGGCCTCCGGCCCCGCCCCTTTCGCAGCTTCCTCCATTGCTGCCGGTTCCGACTGCAGAGGCTGCTGTGGGCCCCAAGCCTGCAGAGGCAGCAGCGTTTCCTTCGCTTCCAGCCTGGGAATGTGCAATATAACGCCCAACCTCCTCCTCGCTCACAAACTCTGCCAGGATGGTGGTGTTACCCAGAACACACCTGAAACCAAAAAAAAAAAAAAAAAAAACAGAGATCATCAATTTTTTCACCACTAAAATAAGAGCTTATTATCCACTCAAATTTTCCACAGGGTTATTTGTGATTTAATTATATTGATCAGTGGCTACAAGTCTTTTTTTTTTTTTTTTATTGGCCTCCCTTTACTTTGAAAGTATTTTTAAGTTGAACAAAGAACATTTAACTTCAGTAAACATATCAGAAATAAACAAAACCACAAATCAAAAACACTTTTAAAGTATAATTATTTTAGGTTAAACTGTTAATTTGACTGTTTAACAGAAATAAACATTGCCATTAAAGTATATATTTCTAAATAATGTTTCATAACTGGTAATTCATGCAGTTTTTTTCTACCTCCCTCCCCTTTTTTTTGGGAACCATCAGGATAGACCAACACAAAAAGTTGCATATTTATAAAGTATTCCAGTTTAAACAAAATGTAAAATAAAGATATAATGGGGGCATTTACAGCCAGCCTGTATAGAAAACTGCAATCCTGGATAGGAGGCAGAGAACCTCAGCTTAACTGAGAAATTTATTAGTCATGTACTCCAATCATCTGGTGCTTATAAAAGATTTATATATATAAAAAAGAAAAAAGCAAGCCCTCAAAGTGCTGTTTGCCATGAGCTGTGAAGATCACACTACAAAAGTGGAAGAGATGACCTTAAAAACAAAATGTGAAGAGGAAAAACTAACGCTGCCCGCCACACTGAAAGCATTATCTCCAGAGTTAAAAGGTGGTGGCAGCATCATGCAATTGAGAAACAGCTAAAGAACAAAGCATTGGGCGTTTCTCAATTCACGAGAACGCGAGTATGTACTAGCGTTCGTCAAGTCCGTTCTTTGCGAGAACGCAGGAAGATCGGACTTGACGAGAACGCGAGCACGCAAGCACGTATGTGTATTGAAGCAGAAGCGTACTCGTGACGTTATCACAGGCAACGTTGTTTAGCATTTCTTTAACAGTCAAAACTATTTATTCCCTACACAAAACATTTTGAAAACAATATTTTTAATTTCTAAAGCTTAAAAAACATTTTAAAAAATTACCGAACCGCAAAAAACCGCCATCAGAACAAGCAGTAGTTCACACATAACTAGACCGAGAGAAGTGCACTACAGACGGGGTAAATTTAGCCCTGGCTGCGGTTACCCTCGGAGGTCTGCTGGTCCCTCTGGTCCGCTCAACGTCGGACTTTTTTTTTATTATTTCGCACTAACTCTGTAAACAGACCACACAGGGAGGCTTAAATGTATAATGTTATCGCCTCAAACGATTTCAAAACGTACTTTTGAAGAACAACAGCAGCAGAAAAGGGAATGTTTAACTTAACACTGTGAGCGCTGTCTGGAATCAAGCTGCGGCCGCGGGGCATTCTGGGGAAGGGGTCAGTCTGAAGAACGCACAAGTCTGCTCTGATGCATGCTCGATAAAGAGGGCGGGGCGAGAACAACATCCGGGGATTTGATGCGTTCTCGATCTGGCGTTCTTGAGAATTGGAACGGTACTCGGGCTGAGGCTGATGACGTGTCACGAGTACACGAGCACACGAGAACGCTCAAGAACGCATATTGAGAAACGCCCATTGATTTAAACGGTAAAAGTGATCTAAAGATGTCAGCTTCAGATGTTTTTTCTTCCTGTTTTTATGCATTAAATGCATAAAATTTCCATAAATATTGAAAGTAATTTTTTATCAATTGAAACGTTCTTAATAGGTTGCAAACTGTGAGCTTATTGGAAATGATTTTCTACCTTTTCTACTAATTATTCAATTGTTTGCTTTAGAAAGAAAAAACAATGGATTCGCTTAGTGGTTAGATCATAGAGCTTGGAATCCTGAGGTTCTGAGTTTGAGCCCCACTCCCACAGACTGCCACTCTGGTGTCTCTGAGCAAAGACCCTTAACCCCACACTGCTCCCTGGGCGCCGAAGCCCACTGCTCCCCAAGGGCATGAGTTAAATGCAGAGGTAAGTTTCTCCATTGTGAGATCAATAAAGTTATTCAATAATTTTTATTATCTCCATTACAAGTCCTGTCATAAAAAGACATGAATAGATATGTTGACCCAACAAGAACGGGAAAAATAATCCATACTTTATTCAAATAAAGTATCACTGTGAAGGATCAGAGCTTCAGAAATCTAGTTTTCGTTTTGTGGCTGAAAGTTTCAAGTTTAGAAGTAAACTTATTTAGTTTCTAAATTAGACCCAGTTTAAGAACAGCAGATTCTAAGATGGTGTAGAAGCTGGTCATCAAAAAAAAACATCTTTGATTTGAATATGGTTGGAGAAGGGTTATGGTTAAATCCAGGCCAGGAAAATAACTACATTTCCATCCAGATTCATTGTTTTTAACTTTATGTAGACATCCTGGTAAAGATGTACACCTAGAAACTCTAGTAGTAACAAATTACCTTAAAACGCTGTATTAACTTTTTCAGGAAACCTTGCATCGCAGTTTCTTTGACAGCGTAATTATGCAACACATCACAACATGTTGGTCTGTCACATAAAACCCAGTTGTATATACCAAAGGCTGTAGTTGCTAAAATTGTAATGCTTCACAGACAAAAATGAAGATCTATGGTGCCCATCACAGTAGAGGACCATTGTTTCTCAAGTAGTTGAAAACCTTAGTCATAAATGAATGACCTGAGCAATGCTCAACTAATCCATGCCCCCCCCCCCCCCCCCCCCCAGCCTTACATGTGGAGTGCACTCTGGGCCTTGGCTGCCTCCTGTTTGGAGCAGTAGCGAATCAGAGCAGTGCCTTGGGTCAGGCCGAGGTGAAAGGTCAGCAGGGGTCCGTGCTGCATGCAGATGGTCCTCAGAGTGGAACCGTCGATCTGCAGACGTACACAAGGATCTATCATTCTAGAGTCTAGGTTTGGATACAAGCTCAGAGGTTTTTTTTCCTGTAGGTGCCTTCAGAGTAAATTTCACTGTACCTGGGGTGTGAGGTTACTGAGCACCAACCAGCAGCTTTCCCGAGAGCTTCCGTCACTCCAGGCTGAGCCTGCAAAGAGGAAACGAGCCGCTGCAATCACGACTGCTTTCATTGGCTACATGAATCATTTTAACACTTATAAATGAAAGTTGACTTCATCGTTCTGGTGTCACATGAACAAGATCTTGATTAAGAAAAAAAGAAAAAGTACAACCCAAACATCATGCAGGGTAGTTTTACCAGTGTTGCTCGAGCCGCTTCCCCATCCTCTTCCAGCCGAGCGAGGAGCGCCTCCTGACCAAGGGGAGGGAGAGGCCTGCTTCTGACTGGCGAGGCCGGGAGGTGGACGGGATAACTGGGCCTGGCTGCTGCCACGGCTGGCTTTCCAAGACTTGTGTCCTGGAGGTTCTGGGGGCCAGCTGGTCTTGTACTCTGTGTACTTTGCTGCAAGAAAACCAGAGAGACTTTGAGGGACAAACTAATCATCATTAAAACACCCAAAACACAAGAGACTAAAGGCTGGTTCATTCTAAAGATACTAGATTTGTCAAGAGATTTTCCAAACTTACAGAGATCACACACACATAATTATAATAATAAATAAAAACAGCTTTATGCTTTGGACGCATCACGTCAGCTCCCTGCAACAATTATTCAACTACGGATAGAAACTAAAACTGAACTAAAAAGATTTAAAACATCAAAGTTATTTACATTTCTCTATTTTTACCACTAAATCTTTATGAGCAAATTTATTCAAGTATGATCAAATAATGGCTACTTTTTAGGCATGCAACGAGGCTGCATAAAAACTGAATTGAAGAAACCAAAAGAGTTTTTCACTGGTGAAAAGGAGTTTTCATCTGCTTGGTTTGTGATTCAGAATGCAGCCAGTGATTTTAAATATTATTTTTCTGCACTGCAAAGGAAAGTTACGTATGTAACTACGGTTCTATGAATCCCGGATGACCGCCAGAGGGCGGTGCTGAAAGCACTGAATGTTCCCTTCGGGCATGCGCAGTTCGAGTAATTATACCAACAGAGTCACACCTGTGACACCGGATGACCACTCAGAAGCTATATAGCCTGGTGTCATCCTTTGCTCTGCTCCTACAGAATCTTCTCGCAAAAGCAAGGATTCTGAGTGACAGAGAAGGTCTGGCGGTCATCCGGGATTCATAGAACCGTAGTTACATACGTAACTTTCGTTCTATTTCATCCCTACTGACCGCCAGAGGGCGGTGCTGAAAGCACTGAATGACTAATGCCAACGATGTCACAAGGAATCCTGAGCACATACCTCACAGAGGAGGCCCAGCAGAACCTTGTAAAAGGACCTGACCCAGGGGATGAGGGGCAGCCACATTGACACTGTAGAACCTGGTGAAGGTGGTTGGGGAAGGCCATGAAGCATCAGCACATATAGCTTCCAGCGGAACCCCTCTCAAAGCAGCCCGGGAAGCGGTGACGCTCCTGGTGGAATGTGCTCTCACACCGACTGGCAGGGAGCAGTGACCTGCAGCGTAGGCGTGGCAGATGACACTCACAATCCAATGGGACAGACGCTGTTTAGAAAGAGGACAGCCTAACCTTGGACCCCCATAGCATAGGAAAAGCTGGTCCGAGCATCTCAGATTGGCGGTGGCTGCAATGTAGGCCTCCAACGCTCTTACTGGGCACAACAACTCAGACTCATTCTCAGTTGTACCAGATTGAGGCTGAAACCGAGCCAGCCGCAATGGCTGGTTACGGTAAAAAGGAGACAACACCTTAGGCACAAACGCAGTATTAGGCCACAGGGTAACACCAGAGCCATCTGGATTCCACCTGATACACCTAGGGCTGACAGAAAGAGCATGTAGCTCGCTGACCCTCTTAGCTGAGACGATAGCTATTAGGAAAGCAGTCTTGCAGGAAAGCCACTTGAGTTCTGCTTGTGCCAAAGGCTCGAATGTAGGGTGGCACAGAGCTGTGAGAACCAACGGCAGATCCCAATCTGGGGCTCGTGGGGCTGGCTGCTGGCACAACCTACGAGCACCACGCAAAAAAAGTGAAACCAGTTCATGGCGCCCCACTGTACGGTTGTCAACAGTTCGGTGAAGACATGAAATTGCTGCAACATACACTTTAAGGGTCGAAGGAGAGCGGCCCTTATCAAGGAGAGACTGGAGGAACTCCAAAATAGTGGGCACCGAGCAGGAAACTGGGTTCTCATTGTGGGCAGAGCACCACTGAGAAAAGACGCGCCATCTGTTAGCATACTGCAGCCGAGTGGAGGAAGCCCTAGCACTCAATACGGTGTGTCTCACGGTGTCTGAACACCCAGTCAGCCTCCCAGGGGCCATGCCCACAGCTGGAGACGTTGAGGGTTGGGGTGCCATATCTGTCCCCCCAACTGAGACAGCAGATCCCTCCTTGCTGGAAGACGCCATGGAGTACCGTGACACAGACTCCAAAGCAGCGGGAACCACGGCCGCGCTGGCCAGAACGGAGCTACCAGCAACACTCTGTGGCCCTGCTCGAGAACCCTCCGTAGAGTCAGCCAAATCAGTGAGAGGGGTGGAAAGGCATACAGGAGAACCTGCGGCCATGGATGAGCCAGTGCATCCTGGCCCAGTGCGCCCGCCATCCCGGTTAGGGAATACCATAGGGGGCAATGGGTCGACTCCTCTGTGGCGAACAGATCTACCTCTGCCTGCCCAAAGAGGTTCCAGATTATGCGCACTACGTCGCAGTGAAGAGACCACTCTCCCGGAGCAGGTGCCTGGCGGGATAGAGAGTCCGCAACCTGGTTCTGCCGTCCTGGCAGATACGCTGCGCGCAGGGTACACAGACGGGGAAACGCCCATTCCAGGAGATCCCTCGACACCTTCAAGAGACGTGCTGACCTGGTGCCACCTTGGTGGTTTATATGATAAACAACAGAGGTGTTGTCTGTCCGAATCAGCACGTGCCTTCCCTCTAGGTGGGGCAGAAGGCACCTGAGGGCCATGTGCACAGCCCGCAGCTCCAGCACATTTATGTGTTCGGTGCGCTCCCTTGGGTCCCAAAGACCCCGAACAGCTCTGTGTTGCCACACGGCACCCCAGCCCATGAGGCTGGCATCCGTGGTGACCACCTCCCTTCGACACACTACTAGCCCCATTTGAACACCACTGGACAAAAGGGTCCCGTCTCGCCAAGGAGCTAGGGCATGGAGGCAGCTCCTGGTCACCATTAGCCTGCGATGCCTGTGCAGCCTGGCGTCTAGGCGAAAGCTGTTGAGCCATCGCTGCAAAGGACGCAGAAGGAGCAGCCCTAAGGGCACGACACGAGTGACTGATGTCAGTTTGCCCAGCATTCGCAGGAAGATGATGTAGGGAAACTCCCTGCCCAGTCTGAATCGACGGACAAGCTGGAGTATGTCGTCCACCCTGTGAACAGATGGACGGGCCATCATGGTAGCAGAGTCCAGATGCATCCCAAGAAAGGTGGTTGTCTGAGATGGAACAAGACAACTCTTTGCCAAGTTGACTTTGAGGCCTAACAGTGACACATGAAGTAGAAGCTGGGATGTATCCCGAGAGGCAGCTACCTGAGAGGGAGCACAAAGAAGCCAATCGTCCAGGTATGGCAGAATCCTGACTCCGGAGGCCTGTAGAGGAGAGAGGGCTGCTTTCACGCATCGAGTAAACACCCTCGGGGAAAGGGAGAGCCCGAATGGGAGCACCCGGAATTGCCAATGGCGCCCCCGATAGGCGAACCTGAGAAAACTGCGATGTTCTGCCGCAATAGGCAAGTGAAAGTAGGCGTCTGTCAGATCTACTGATCTAAACCAATCTCCCGCCACAATGGTCTGAAGGACCTCTGTTATGGTGAGCATGTGGAAGGGAAGGACCTTCAGGTACCGATTCAGTCCCCTTAGATCTAAAATGGGGCGAAAACCGCCGGTCTTCTTGGCCACAAGGAAGTATGTGGAGTAGTAGCCTCTGGGTTGCCGCAGAGGATCTACAGACTCGATTGCCCCCTTGCCCAGGAGGGCGGAAAGCTCCTGGTCTAGTGCCTGAGATTTCACCGGGTCTGTGATGACAGTCATCTTGACCCGGTGTGAGAGGGGGGGCCGCCGTCGGAACTGGAGCCTGTAGCCATTGGTTAAGGTGGCAACCACCCATGGATCTACGGCATGAGCAGCCCAGAAATTCAGCTGCTGATGGGAAAAATGTCCGACGGCTGGCCCGGTGGTATCATCTTCTATCCCCACGGCCCCTGGGGGCTCTGGGGGGAGGGCGTCCAGGATTTGAGGCCCGGGTCTGTCTAGCAGGGCGGCAGACTGGCTCACGAAAGTCCCTCCTCGGTCTCTGCCGCACATCATGGGGATAGGAACCAACAGGTCTGCCACCGGTCTGAGGTCGTGGCTGAACACTGGGGGTAGTGGCAGGGCGGCCCGAACGCTGGGGAAAGGCAGGTATGCTCCTGCGAAGGCCGGAAAGCTGTTGGCTAGTCTGACGTGCCTGAGCAGTCCGTTCCAGCGCCTCCAAGGCAGCTGATCCAAACAGCTCCCCTGGTACAACCGGGACACCCCTGAGGGTCCTACGGCATGCTTCAGTCAGAGGAGACTGTGCCAACCAGACCTGTCTACGAGCTTGGACAAGGAAAGACATGACCCGTCCAAGCTCTCTGGTCATCAGCGCGAAGGCCTGCAGCGCTGCGTCACTATAACCCATCGCCGCACTTGCACCACCAGTGTCCTGAACAGATGCAGACAGGGCAAACATGAGGTGTGCCAGAGTATTGCCAAGGCGGCCAGCACGCGCTCCTGCATTGTACGCCTTACAGAGGAGGTCATCTGTAATCCGACATTGAGTCCGCGGGCACCGGACATCAGGACGCAGGGCTTCATCTGGTGACACAATCAGTGAAGCAACAGCTGGTTCAATTGCTGGCATACGGTCCAGGCCGGCCTTCACCGACTCATGCATGGCAGCTAATACACGACCATCCGATGAGAGACGCGACAGCGCTCTCGGTTCCCGCCAACAGGCGTGGAACTCCTTCAAGTACTCCTCTGATGGAGGTACAGAAAAAGGAGTAGGAGCCCTTCCACGTCTGAAAAAGGCACTGCCGGAGCTGGATGCCTCTCCTTGTGGGAGTTCCAGCTGCAGCTGCTTCAGGGCCATAGACATGACCTCCCGCATGGAACCGTCACCGGCCTCTCCAACCGCACTCTGAGATGAAAATGAACCAGCCTCAGAGGCTTGAGAGGACCCTGCCTCCTCCTCATCTCTAAAATGAGAAGCGGAAGCAGCCAGAGAGATAACGTCATCCTCTACAACCAGCTCGGGCATTGGTGCGGAAGAGAGCCCAACCACTGGGAGCGAGGGATCAGATTGCCGTGTCTGCAACAAGGACTTCATCTCTGCCAGCTCTGCTGACAACTGCTCCACCCTTGTGGACAGGCCCTGGTCAGGTTTGGCCCGCTTCCTCCGGGGGAGGGGCACAGATGCTGTGGTCCCACCACGGCGCTTAGAACGCTTGTGGGGAACCACCTGCCCAGAGGGCGGAAGGTCCGAGCCCTCCTGGGGGCACAACTGGGCCAACCGGGCCACCCTCACTGCATGGGGCATAAAGCTGCAGTTCATACAGGGGTTCTCAGACAGCGCCTCCAAAAGGTGCTCATGTCCAAGGCAGGTAGGGCACAGGTCGTGGCCATCCTCTGCCTGCAGGGCAGCCCCACAATCCATGCAGCTGTGAGAGCCATCCATGTCGAAGGCCGACAAGGCTTAAAGAACAGAAAGTTATCGAAAATCGGGAGAGGGGGCGAAAACGCTGCCGTCACCATTTATAACTAAGCAGACCGATGAAGAAGGCTGCAAACAAACCAAAAAAGGCTAACAACGTTAGCCGTCTCCAACTTCGGCAAACGAAGTAGACCACACTTGGTTGGGAGAGGGGGCGAAAACCGCGGCCGTCAGTAATTATAGCAGCACAGACCGGTGAAAAAAAGGATGCAAAAGTAGGGAATATACTGGGAGAGGGGGCGAAAACCGCTGCCGTCACCAGGTATAACACCAACAAACTAAAGAAGCTAACTACGTTAGCCGTATATAACTTCGGCAGTGAAGTTATTCACACTGGGAGTAGGGGCGAAAACGCTGCCGTCACCAGTTCGAAACAAAACAGCACGAAGCTGTAGCTAAAAAGCTAAAGTCGTGAGCCGGGAGAGGGGGCGCGGACGCTACCATCACCAGCAAACAACTCACTTACCTTCCGTAATCCTCAGAATCGACCCGTTGCAGCCCTGGGAGGGCGGAGAATAACCGCAACTCCGGTCAAGAGACAGGGGCTTCAGACAACGGGGAAGTTAGCGAACCGCTTGCGAGAAGAAAAAAGGAGCAGAGCAAAGGATGACACCAGGCTATATAGCTTCTGAGTGGTCATCCGGTGTCACAGGTGTGACTCTGTTGGTATAATTACTCGAACTGCGCATGCCCGAAGGGAACATTCAGTGCTTTCAGCACCGCCCTCTGGCGGTCAGTAGGGATGAAATAGAACCGCAACTCCGGTCAAGAGACAGGGGCTTCAGACAACGGGGAAGTTAGCGAACCGCTTGCGAGAAGAAAAAAGGAGCAGAGCAAAGGATGACACCAGGCTATATAGCTTCTGAGTGGTCATCCGGTGTCACAGGTGTGACTCTGTTGGTATAATTACTCGAACTGCGCATGCCCGAAGGGAACATTCAGTGCTTTCAGCACCGCCCTCTGGCGCTCAGTAGGGATGAAATAGAACCGCAACTCCGGTCAAGAGACAGGGGCTTCAGACAACGGGGAAGTTAGCGAACCGCTTGCGAGAAGAAAAAAGGAGCAGAGCAAAGGATGACACCAGGCTATATAGCTTCTGAGTGGTCATCCGGTGTCACAGGTGTGACTCTGTTGGTATAATTACACGAACTGCGCATGCCCGAAGGGAACGTTCAGTGCTTTCAGCACCGCCCTCTGGCGGTCAGTAGGGATGAAATAGAACTTCAGAGCAAGGCATAGAAATCAATAAGTGAACACCATGGTTAATAAAATAAAAAGACGATGAAACTGGACAGTTTGATTTAACCTTAGTTATTTTTGCATCCAACGTAAACACTGTAAGCTGTGATTTTTTTTAATCTTACGCTGCCTTCGTTTCATTTAATGAAATTTGTGGCAGAAATCTGAACGATTATTGTGAACCTCCCCTTTATTCAAGCTGTGATACTTTTCTAGGATTCTAATATACTACTTTAGATTGGTTAAAGGCTTAATGCTCAATTCCGATTTTTTGTTAAATCCCATTCTTTTGTGTGGCTGTTCAAATTTCCAAATATATGCGACCTGTATGTGATCTCCTGTATGAACTAAATTCATACTATTTAAGGGTCCCGCATGCGCAGTACAGGAGACAATGAAGTCACAAGCAAGCATGCTCTGTGTTTACTGAAGTAAACGTGGATGGTAGTGCAGGAGAGCACCTTGCAATATTCCATTTCATTTCAGCCACTCCATTAACACAATCTTTCAAGATGGTTGAAAATAAAAGCTTCTCCCTGCATTTTCGTCCAACATGGGGGTGGTTTTTCTTGCTGCTTCTGGGTAGCAAGATGCAGAATAGTGACCTTTGGTGCATTAATGGCGTAGAGGTCGGATAAATGCGACCTAGCCGTTCAGACACAGGTACCATTTGAAAAGATCAGATGTGTATCAGATTCAGGACCACACAGCCAAGTGGCCTGGGTCACATTGAAAAAAAAAATCTGATACATGTTGTTCAGACTGTCATGAAAAGATCAGATCACTTCAGGCTGCTGTGTGAACGTAGCAATACAGGTGCTGGTCATAAAATTAGAATATCATGAAAAAGTAGATTGATTTCAGTAATTCCATTTAAAAAGTGAAACTTGTATATTATATTCATACATTACATACAAACTCATATATTTCAGATGTTTATTTTGTTTAATTTTGATGATTACAAATGACAACAAATGAAAATCTCAAATTCATCATATCAGAAAATTAGAATATTACTGAAGACCAATAAAAACAAAGGATTTATAGAAATGTTGGCCAACTGAAAAGTATGAACATGAAAAGTATGAGCATGTACAGCACTCAGTATTTAGTTGGGCCTCCTTTGGCCTGTATTACTGCAGCAATGCGGCGTGGCATGGAGTCGATCAGTCTGTGGCACTGCTCAGGTGTTATGATAGCCCAGGTTGCTCTAATCGTGGCTTTTAGCTCTTCTGAATTGTTGGGTCTGGTGTATTGCATCTTCTTCGTCACAATACCCCATAGATTTTCTATGGGGTTAAGGTCAGGAGAGTTTGCTGGCCAATTAAGAACAGGGATACCATGGTCCTTCAACCAGGTACTGGTAGCTTTGGCACTGTGTGCAGGTGCCAAGTCCTGTTGGAAAATGAAATCTGCATCTCCAAAAAGTTGGTCAGCTGCAGGAAGCATGAAGTGCTCTAAAACTTCCTGGTATGTGGCTGCGTTGACCCTGGACCTCAGAAAACACAATGGACCAACACCAGCAGATGACATGGCACCCCAAACCATCACTGACTGTGGAAACTTTACACTGGACTTCAAGCAACGTGGATGAAGTGCCTCTCTTCTTTTCCTCCAGACTCTGGGACCTTGATTTCCAAAGGAAATGCAAAATTTACTTTCATCAGAGAACATGACTTTGGACCACTCACCAGCAGTCCAGTCCTGTTTCTCTTTAGCCCAGGCAAGACGCTTCTGACGCTGTCTGTGGTTCAAGAGTGGCTTGACACAAGGAATGCGACAGCAGAAACCCATGTCTTTCATACGTCTGTGTGTGGTGGTTCTTGAAGCACTCACTCCAGCTGCAGTCCACTCTTTGTGAATCTCCCCCACATTTTTGAATGGGTTTTGTTTCACAATCCTCTCCAGGGTGCGGTTATCTCTCTTGCTTGTACACTTTTTTCGACCACATCTTTTCCTTCCCTTCGCCTCTCTATTAATGTGCTTGGACACTGAGCTCTGTGAACAGCCAGCCTCTTTAGCGATGACCTTTTGTGTCTTGCCCTCCTTGTGCAAGGTGTCGATGGTCGTCTTTTGGACAACTGTCAAGTCAGCAGTCTTCCCCATGATTGTGTAGCCTATAGAACTAGACTGAAAGACCATTTAAAGGCTTTTGCAGGTGGTTTGAGTTAATTAGCTGATTAGAGTGTGGCACCAGGGGCCATCAATTTTGAACCTTTTCACAATATTCTAATTTTCTGATATGATGAATTTGAGATTTTCATTTGTTGTCATTTGTAATCATCAAAATTAAACAAAATAAACATCTGAAATATATGAGTTTGTATGTAATGTATGAATATAATATACAAGTTTCACTTTTTAAATGGAATTACTGAAATCAATCTACTTTTTCATGATATTCTAATTTTATGACCAGCACCTGTAGATGCAAAAGGGTTGTGAAAACGACACCAGAGAAGACAGAAACTAAAATCCAAAATAAATGTGTTTTCTTCCATTTTTTTTTCTTACCTGAGTTGTGTGCATTGTTAAGGATGTCTGAGGCACTGTAGGGCCAGGCACCAGGTGAAGGCAGCAAGGTGTTCAGGGGAGGGGTGGAATCTGCATAAAAGATGCAACCAGTTACTATAACGTGACTGCAAACTGAACAATGAATTAGTTTGTAAATTAAATGCATGTAAAATTGAAATAAAAACCAAAGGAATCATAACATAAACATCTTGAATGTGTGCTACCATTCAAAGCTATACCGGTATTGTCTTGTAACAACTGGTGCTCGCTGTCGTTGAGACCGGGGGAAACTGCATTTCCCATCATGCTCCCAGGCGTCATGTATGGATCAGACTCTGGATCAACACGATCGATTCCTTTCCATGGCACCCCAGGCTGGAACTCTACAGCAGGAACAATCATGTACGCCGTTTGAGATGCAAACGGTGCAACCAGGCAGGCAGGAAGTCCATTTATGGTCGTAAAGGAAGCCTTTCGGTTTCTATCCTATTTAAACCTTGTGGAATCACTCACCAGGAGGCCAGCTTGGTGTGTTGGTAGTCTTGGCACCCATCTTGTTGCCAGGGGTGCGATGCCAGTTGTCACTCGGTCCATCACCACCCACTATGTCAAACTGGGAGTAAGGTGAGCTTCCTGGCATCTTTATCGGGGTGACAGGACCTGACAGGCAGAAGATACATGCGTCATCATTTAATACCAGATGGTTCACAAACCACATTGGAAATGCATATTATGTGTAACATTTCAACATGTTACAAACAATCTAAGATATTCTGGAAGAAAAATTAAGTACTTTTTTAAAAAAAAATAAAAATCTGAAAAGTGTGGTGCACATTTCTAATCAGCCCCTTCGTATATACTGCAGTTACAGCTCTGAGTCTTTCCATCCACTCCAATAAATAGTCGTAAATCAAGGTAAGGTGAGTTTGTTGCAGCAACAGCAATTAAAGGTGCTTTCAGTGCTGAAAACAGCATTGCAGTAATAAAGGGAACATTAAACAAATGGCTTTAACCCTAAATTTGACCCTCTTGGACATTTCAAAGTGTTCCTACTGTGAATAATGCATGCTGAATGTAAACAAACATGATTGGATCAATATGTTGATTTATTACCTAATATTTGACATGTTCATATTCATTTGAATCAGACATTACCTTTGGAAATGATTCAAATGAATCTGGTTTTAACCAAATAAATGGTAAAATTCCTTATTTGTCTTTTTGACTGAATACTGGCTGCAATGTGCTTGCAAGTTTTGACAAAAGTGATTTTACGATTCAGCCAGTTGTAGTTTTTCTACATAAATAATGGGTGATCGGTATAGGCAGCAGAAATCCTGAACGGAGCATCTATGACTGAATACAAACAGCAATAAAAGCCACATGACTGTTACCATTTTTGTGATACAAGTTGTCGGGTGAGGAAGTATCAGGGGAGCAGTTTCCCTCCATCATCCATTTAAAACGGGACTGCTGAGCCCCTAGGTCCTTCATGCCTCCAGGCCCCCCCATCATGGAGGCTCCATGTTCCAGACCCGGAAGGTTCACAGCAGAACCAAATCCTGTGAACATAAAGACAGAGAACAGGTAAAAAATAACAAAATAATATCCATAAATGGAAATATTCAAAAAAGATGGGAGCTGCAAACCACTAAAAACAAAACTTTCACAGGTTCTGACAAAAAAATGCTTGTTAACAGCTAGTGGTGAATTTTAATGTTTCTTTAGGGATATAGTCACAAATAAAAAAATTTAAGCTTTTTGTCTTCATTAATTGGTACTTTTGATAAAAATAACTCATTGAAATATTTATTATATTATCTACTTTAATCAGTAGATTTAAGAAACACCATTAACATTTTGCAGAGCTAATAAAAATATGAACAGCAGTTCAGACTGTTGTAAACAAATAATGTCTCAGTCAACTACCTGCTTCATTAAACAGAGACTGACCAGAGTACGGTCCAAACGCTTTCTGCTGCAGCTCGGCCACTGATCCGCCCAGGCCTGGGTGAGGCAACGTTTCACTTCCAGGAAGCTTTGGACCCATTCCGCTGTGGTGGGAGGGGGAGAGCTTAGGGCCGCTGCCTAAGCCTCCGATCTGCTGGTGCTGCCTCTGCTGCTGGAGGACCGCCATTATCCTGGCCAGCTGAGGTGATGAAGAAAGAAAACAGAAGAAAGTCTTTAGGGTTTACCTCCACCAGCAGACAGGATGGAATTATACCTTTTTCTAATCCTTTACAAAGTAGCAGAAGTGCACTCCAATTGGCTGGAGATCGAACAACTCTACAATTCTATCAGCTTGATGTAACAAATGTGAAAAGGAGCAAGGGGTGTGAATACTTTTGCAAGCTTAAAAAAAGAGGCTAGCAACAAAGTATGAAGTAAGGGCTGCTCTACATTGGTAACAGACCAGCTGATCCCCCACAGCTCTGTGATCCTCCCTAACCTTGATGAGCACAAACATCATAGAACACGGCCGGCCCAAATGACGGCCAGAGACGCTTGATGAGGGGTTCAGTAATGCGACCATCATGTGCAACACCTTGCAAAAGGAAATGGTGCATAGTAGTACCTGTTGAGGGTCATTCTGCTGCCGCACATTTGGTGTGAACTTCCTCTGGTTTTGCAGTATCTGTTGTTGCTGTGGTGGCTGTTGCTGCTGCTGCTGCAGTAAAAGCTGACAAGCCTAAGAGGAAAAATACAAAAAACACACACAGATGGAAGCTCATAAAATAAATGTTTGACTTAATTTTTATTAAATCTAGGCAGAAGGTGGGGAAAGGCATTTCTTTTCCTTTGTTATTTCTAAAAATGCAAAATAAAAACCCAACTTTGTACTTTAGAAAATCAAAACTTAACTACTTCTGTTAGACTTTAGACATTTGGTTCTCATCTCAATCTTTCTGTCAATTAAAGGGTCGGCTGCTGATTAAACTTATGTTTCCACTATAAAAAAAAAAAAAGAAGGTGAGTCTGCAGCAGTTTTCAGGTGTGTAGCGCTGCTTCTCACCAGCTGCAACTGGATCTGAGGTGGGTAGATGCTGCTGAGCATGGCGAGATGCTGAGGGGATAGCTGTGGAGCAAAAACTCCTCCCCCAACTCCAGCTACCCCTCCCATGCCACCAACACCTCCCACACTGCCACTGGGAGGGGGCATCGGCTTCAGCATGGACCCTGGCACCTAGAGACAAGCAGGAAGACAATCTGTTACCACAAACACAAGCTTTAACCAATGACTTCAACTGTTAGAAGGCATCCAGTTTGATAGATGAATGTTGTAGCTTTTATTTTCTATTTAGACATTGTGGTTGAAAAAAAAAAAAAAAGAAAAAAAAGGTCAAAGCGTGTGAAATGACTCTTGAAAATCTAATTTTGTGTTTGTCTGCCTTTAAATGTTCAGACTGATTTAAGCAGAGCACATTTCTCCACTGTAGGCGAAAGTTTTACACTAAATTTTAAAAGTGTGTTCACACGGAATGCAAAAGCTGCAAACATTTTGCCAGTTTCTCTTTTCACACAGCAGGTGAAAGGTTCAAACATCATGGCGTCTGCTGGTTGTTGGTTTCACCTCATCATGGAGGATATGGATTTAAAAAGTGATTTGCAGTATTTATTACTTTAGAAATAAAGCTGTCAGCATTCCAAGGTTCACCGGATTCCCAGAGATGGAACCATAGACCAGGTCTGGATGAAGCTCTCTTTCAGTGGTACTTCTGTCTATCAGTGATCCAGTACGGGACCCTGCTGTCCCACATTGGGGGACAAATCACTCAGACAACAGCCTTGTCACCTCCCGACTAGATTACTGCAACTCCCTCCTCTTTGGACTTCCTCAGAAATCACTCCACAAACTACAACTGGTCCAGAACTCAGCTGCTCGAATCATAACAAGAACTCCCTCTATCCACCACATCACTCCGGTCCTCCGACAGCTCCACTGGCTCCCCATACAGTTCCGCATTCAATATAAAATTATCATGATGACTTTCAAGGCACTTCACCATCTTGCCCCCCCATATCTGTCAGACCTCCTGCATGTTCCCACCCCCTCCCGTGCTCTTAGATCCTCATCTGCTTTGCACCTGCCTGTCCCCTCCGCCCGTCTCACCACCATGGGGAGCAGAGCATTCAGCCGCTCTGCCCCCCGCCTCTGGAACTCTCTACCACCCCAACTTCGAAATACGGACTCAATTCTCCATTTTAAAATACAACTCAAAACCCATCTGTTCAAGATTGCTTATTCTCTTTAAAAATATAAATTTCACTGTCACAGCCTCTGTATTTTTAAATGTTTTTATAATTATAATTTTTATTTTTTCTGACACTTTTTGTTTTGTACGGTGACCTTGAGTGTCCAGAAAGGCGCCTTTTTAAATAAAATGTATTATTATTATTATTAACAGAGGGTTGCTTGGTGAGACTGCATTCTGGAGCTCAGACATAAGCAGCAGAAAAGCAGTGTGAGTACACTGGCAGAGAAAAAAACAGAATCAAAACCGGCTGTCAGCTGTGTCACCCTCTGGAACTAAGGAACGACAAGGGGAGCTTGGAGGATCCCTCTAGGGAATCAGGCCTCTAGAGCTGGGAGAGAAGGCAGAGAGAAGAAAGCCAATGGGGAAAAAACATCAGCGAGGAGAGGCTACACCTGGCTAGGGCTAGCTATTTTAGCTAACTGCGGAGGAACAGAGGAGCTCAGTGGCAGATTGGACAAGGGTGGGACAGTGATTATAGCTGCCCGGGAATAGGACAGCGGAAACTGAATGAGAATCACGGAGCAGTGGAGCATGAAGCAGAACATGCTCTGATCTAATGAACAACGTAAATCCAAAGTGCAGAAAAAACGAGCGATAACATCAAGCCCCTATGGTTTGATGGGTAAACAATGACAGCTCTCGCTCATTGGACTGTTGAAAAGAGCCAACAGAAAAAAAAGATGAGGTTAAACGCGGCCTACCTGAGGTGACAGGAACTGATGAGGCACTTGTGCTCGCATCCCTGGGGACTGGTTCATTGGGGGGACACTTGGTTGATGCCTTGACTGGGACATTCCTCCAGCATTGCCAAAGATACTGTGACTGCCCTGCAATCAGAAGAAATGTCAGAAAACCTACATTTCCACAGAAAATGGAATGGAACATCAATGGATGAAAGACTTTAATGAATACATTTAACATACAATACATAATACAAGTCAAAGGTAAAAAAGACAACAGGATAGAAACAAGAGGAGTGGGAATCTTACTTGTCTAAAGGGGACAGAGTGGTTGAAGAGGGTATGGGGCTTGTAGGCAGTGGGTGGTGAGTACAGAGAGTAAGGAGCCTCCTCCCCAAGGCACCCATCCTGACTGATCAAATGCAAGGTCTGTCACAGTGACAGCCATAGGAAGCCCAATTTGGGAAGCAGTGACGGGTGTAAAGGAAGGTGGAGAAAAGGGGGAGGCAGAAAAAAAGTAGGAAGAAGAGAGCAGAAATCGCAAGAGGGGACATTATCTAGACAAAGACAACAGACAGAAACTAGATTAGATCTGAAACATTACCTTGTCATAATAAGAGCCTGCATCCAATTGTGCTGGGTCTTTGGACCCAGGAGGGCGATAAATCCCTCCTCCACTCGGACCCCCTCCTCTTCCTCCTTTTCTCATGTCTCCGTTGAAATCATTCAGTCCTATGCCTCGTTTCTCAGCCTCCATTTTCTTCTCCTGAATAGAACCTGAAGGCAGGTCAATGTTTGGGCCACTGGAATCATCGTTCTGTCCAACAGAGGAGGAGGAGGAGAATAAATCGGATTATAATCACACACAAAACCAGTACACTGCCACAAAAAAAAAACAATAATACATGTCATACTACCACATATTTTACTTTAAAAACAGATACATTTTTAACTCAGTGGAATTTTAACAAAAAATAAAACAAAACAGAAAAGTGTTGCATGAAAAACCATGGAAAACTCAGGGAGAAAATGGTGAATTAAAAGCAGGGTTAAGCCTGGTTTATGCACAGAAACCAGGTCGTCTGCGTCAAAGTTAACGCAGATATCACTATCCCAGACCCCGTACAGGATGCTAGTTTGTAGCTCAGTGCGAGGGTCTGTTGGTTTGCGCCCAAAGCCAAAACACGCAGCGCCACAGCCAGTCTTTCGGGAACACTCATAGGTGAAATGTGTGTGGTCTGGCTCTGGATGAGGGGTTGTAGAAAGCGAACAAGCTCAGCAAACCGACACATGGACACGCACAATCCTAGCTAGTTTGTGATTGTCCATCTTGCGTTGTGGCATGGCATAACATAGCGGAGACCACGCTTCAAAATTGGGCACAAATCAAAAATATCTGCTTCACACCTGCAACAAGCTAACTGCGTCACACTCCTGCGGGAGTATACACAGCACTTTAGGTTCTCTAAAAATCTCCCAGAGCTCTGTTTCATCCATCATCTCAACATAGAGAGAATAAACCAACTGCAGACCCACAAGGACCAACAGGCTGGGCATGGAGAGCGATAATCACAGAAAGAACATGAGATAGATCCTGAGCCATCTCTATAGTTATGCTACTATAGGCTTAGACTTCTGGAGGACATATAGGGACCTCTATTTCATCATTCTATCTCTATTCTTCCATTCTGCAGAATCTGTTAGTTCAATCTCTAACGTCATGTTCTCTCTGCTTTTTCTCATAGTAGCTTCATCTGGTCTGTTCCTGTTTGACTGTGACACGATCCTGGAGAGAAATATCAGCTGTGCTGCGACCATCAACACCTTTCTTTATAGATGTTCGAGATCAGCATCTTTTTCCAGTGTAGTCCTGTTTCTCTGACTGTGACTGCCGGGATGTGCTCTCTTCATCCTCTGACATGGGAGTTGGCTCAGAGCTCATCTGCCTGGCTGTGTGTTTCCTGGACGGGGCCGCCTTTAATAGCTGCTTTTTGTATCTCTGCTCCTGCCTCCTTAACCCCCAGTCAACCTCAGCAGATGGCCGCTCACACTGAGCCTGGTTCTGCTGGAGGTCACTTCTTGTTAAGAGGGAGTTTTTCCTCTCCACTGTCACTACAAGCACGCTAAGTGTGAGGGATTGCATTCGAGTCAATAAGTCGATGCAATCAACTGGTTTTCCTTAGATAGAAAACTTTGAATCAATTTGATTGTATGATCTGGTGAACTGTAAAGTGCCTGAGATGACGTGTTGTGAATTAGCTCTATATAAATAAACTGAACTGAACTAAACATGCACCCAGTGATACTATGGATCGTTTAGGTCAAAGCTGTTTCAGGATCTGGAATGGTCTAGTTAACGCAGGCTTAAATTTTCATAACTGAATCTGGTAGAAAAATAAACCACAGCTGATAGGTGGTTTACAGCAGTGATTGAGACTGGGGATAAGCATACTTTAAAGAGTTTTCACTTAAAAATCGAATTTATTCCCTTTAATTTCAGTTATGTATGTCTTTGTAAAACGTCACACGAAGCCCTGACGAAGTTCATTAGAACTTAGGGTGATGAAGGTGAACTGTTGCTCTGTGCTGTATCTGCATTAAAATTTAGCCTTACCAGAATTCCCATATTGGAGAACTGCCTGTTGATGGGGCTCATCCACGAATCCCCTCCAGCCTTTAGAGGACCCTGATAAGAAAACAGAGTGGAAACACCAAGAGTTACATAATATACAGGTAAAGACTGCCAATAACCAGTTTACCAAACCACTTGTCAGAAATGAAGTGATACATTCCCTATGATATAAGGACTTGTATCTTTCTTCTGGAACACCTAAACTTTGAATTTAAAAAAATACACCCCCCCCCCCCAGCAGTTACACACCTTGCTGCTGGTCTTTTTCACTGGGTTACTTTGAGCCCAGCCTCCATTGCTTCCTTGTCCCCAAGATGAGCCACTTCCTTGGGAACCTGTGCTGTTCCACATACTGCTGCCTTCTTCTTCATCCTCCCAGCTAGAGTGGCGTGAAGCTGCCATCGAACTCTCCTTGTCCCCCCAGCCATCTTGCATAGACTTTGAAGCTTTAGCATAGGATCAAAAATCCAAGTTATAACAAATTCTAGCTTAAATTCAGCATAATAAATAGAAAGCCTACTGGTGGGCTCCTTTAACTGCTATTCAGCTGTTTTCAAATGTTTCTTAAAGATGTGTGACTTTCTAACCAGATCTGATTGAGTTTGAAGCGTTTCCCCAGGATCCCGTCTTCCCTCCGGTATCATCAGGATCGCCCCAGCCAGTGGGAGCTTCATTGGGTTTCCCCCAGGCTGCTGTACCGTTGTCTACTGAAGGACTAGCAGGAGAAGTGCTACTCCAGCCTGAAGGTTCTGCAGAAAAATACCAATGTTAACATGCCTAATCCTGGCTTTATGCTTAGCAGAAATAGATTCAAAAGACAATCTACTTTGGGACACACAGGACATTAATAAAAGAAAAAGTAAATTATAAGAAAGCAAGATGTTCAGCACCTAACAGGAAGGTTGAAGTAATTAAAGCAATGAGGATTTGTTTTGCCTTTATCCACCTCTGTCATAAAAGATGCTGGATGTGGAAACAGTGGCATTTGGGAGATATCAAAGTTATAGACTAAACTCTGATTAGAAAACAGCCTTAAAATGTGATGTTAACACACTAGTATATTAGAAATGGATCAATAGTTTGTAGATACAGATACATATATAGCAACTACGATATAATAACTCATAACTGGAAGGATAAGCATAATTTATTTTTAGCCGTTTAACAAAAACAATAACCAACATAAAAGCAAATTAACAGTTGGGTGGATACCTGTGAGCGCTGCAGCCTGCCGGCTGGGCTGCTGCTGAACAGGAGCTCCCTGCTGCTGCTGCTGCTGCTGAGCCTGACTCTGTCCATGTGGCTGCTGGCTAGCAGAGCCGCTGTTTTTATCCCACAGGTTCACCGGCTTATAGTTGTAATGGGTTGGGTCTCCCCATGCTGATGTTCCATCATCTATCTCGCTCTTCCTGCTTATAGACTGCGGGGAGGGTTCTTCCCAGCCGCTTGGTTCAGGTCCGCCGCCACCTCCGGGGGCGCAAGGAAGAGGTCCCGAGGTCCAGCCTGAGCTTTGGTTCTGTGTCTGAGCTTGAGAGGCGAGCTTCCTCCCCCCGCCCCCTTGCATAACCCCTTGGTCCAATGCTTGCTGCAGCTGTGGATTCTGATTGCGGGGCTGTGATTGTTGCTGTTGCAGTTGTGCCTGTGGGCCTGAGACGGAGCCCGACTGGCTGTTTGGCATCTGGTGCATTTTGTTTCCTCCACTCCAACCCTGATGGGGTTTAGGCCCTATGCCTCCAACCCCATCCATCCCTCCCCCTCCGCCACCCCCTCCCCCTGTGCCCCAGGTCCTCCGGGGTGCACTGCTGTCCCAGTTCCCCCAGCCACCTCCACCTGAATCTCCCCCTGAGTGCCCTCCGTTTCTCCTCTCATCGCCCCAACCTCCTCCACTGCTGGATTTTGATTCTTGCTCCAACCAGTTTTTTCCTGCCCCAACCTTCGATTTTGATCCCCACCCACTTCCCTCATCACTCCCGCCCATGTCTTTCCAACTCCCTGCTCCTTTTTCATGGTGACCATCTCCCCATCCTCCACCCGATGAGTCACCTTTCTGCCCAACGTCCCCCCATCCTCCGCCCTTTTCTGCTTGACTGTTACTTCTCCATTCTTCGTTCCCCCATTCCTTGGAATCAAGATTATCCCCGGCACCATTTCCTCCACCAACCCAACCCGTAGCTTTGGCCTGGGTTCCCGGCATTATCCCAGACGCCAGACCAGGTGCAGATGAGGTCACTGGCCCAGATTGTGAGACGCCAAGATGCCTCATGTTGGAGGATGTAGGTGGGGGGGCTCTCCCAGACAAAGATGCTCCACTACTGCTGGTGTTGCTGCTGCTGCTCTCCCAACTCTCTCCAGATGACCCAGTGGGAGGAATCAAGGAGGGACTAACACCTGGACCCTTTGAATCAGTGCTTAGGGTCCTGGGTCCACTAGAATATTGGGTAGGACCACCAAGAGCAGCCGGGTGTTTCGATGAAGCTGAAGGCGGTACAGCCTTGTTGGGTCCTTCTTGTTCCTCAACATCCCAGGATGTGTTTTGCCGGATCTGTGTCTGGCCCCAGCCCGAGTTGGACAGGACCCGAGGATCCAGATCAGACCGACTTAGCAAGTTCTGTAAGGCAGCTTCAGCGTTTGGTGCCTGTCGGCGAATACGATTACTGTTAGTCATGCTTCCGCTTCTGGAATTCCCACCGCTAGATGAAGATCCCCCTCTTCCTCTGGCTCCGTCGCCCCATTCCCCCACTTCGCCTTCTCCTTTCTGATTGTCCCAGGCTCTGTTGGCAGCAGCGGCTGTTAATGATGAAGAAGCAGTAGGGGGGTTGCCCACAGTGCTTCCACCACTGCTGCTGCTGTTACTACTGCAGTTTCCCATTTCATCAGGTGCTGGATTGGATCCACCAATGCCAGCAGAGCTGCCTCCCCAACCACTACCAGAAGCCCCTCGATCCGCTCCGACTACTGATAACCCCCACCCTCCCTGAGTTGCCCCGGAGGTTTGACCACAATTACCCCCATTTTCAGCACTGCCACAAGTAGAACTAGGGTACCCCCAACCCGATGTCCCTTTATCCCCTTCTGCTGCTCCTAACTTCCCACTCTCCCCACCTTCCCATCCGTCAGTTCTTGAGACACCCGTTTTGGAGTAAGCTGCAGAGTAAGAAGGTTGGCCTCTCCAGGAGGTGGCAACGTTAGGGTCTCCCACACCAACCCTGCCTCCTCCAACACCATGGTCCATTCCTCCCCCAATCCCTTCCCCCCCTGAAATTTTTGGTCCGGCTGATTCACTGTCCCACTTCCCTCCCCCAGCCTCTCTGTCTCTGGATTGCATTTGGTGAAGTTGGTGCTGATGGGCGCTTGACGGATTCACAGATATAGATGGGTGACCCCCCAGAACACCGACTGCCCCGCCTCCCAGCCCCATGGAAGCAGAGTTGTTGGCGGACCCTTCGGAGACCTGGTGATGGAAGGCAGTCAGAGCTCCTTCCCCTGAAGCAGCGGGGCTGTCCTGCTGCACCAGAGCAGGCCAGGCTGAAGGGTTGGCATTTGGACTGAAATTGGCACCTGGAATTCCACTGCTACCATCCACGGGGCCACTGGCATCATGGGACCCGTGCACAGCGGGGGCTTTGGAAAGTGAGGAGGGCTGCTGTAGCAGAGGCCCAGCTGCAGCTACTGCAGCACCTCCTCCTAGCTGACCCTGGGAGGCAGTTGTCCCCCATGCCGCACTGTTAGACAACTGCATACATTCATTGGGCAAAGAGAATGAGGAAGTGAGTGAGGGTTGGTTGCCAGAGGCACTGATGCTATTCACAGGCATTCCGCTGTTGCCGCCGTTTCCTCCGTCACTGCCAGCAATACTAGGCCACTCCTCCAAGTCGTTGCCATCGACAATGACTTTCTCCTTGCCCTGAGAGGAAGCCTGGCCGCCTGAGCTTGTCCCCCACATGGAATTTGCATAATTAGAAGTAGAAGCAGCAATTGATGAGGTGAGAGCCAATGAAGATGCAGAATCTGTAAAAAGAAGGTAAAAAAAAAAAAATCAGCAGGAGTCAAACAGAAACGCAAATACAACGCATGAAAAAAAACACCTTCCATTTTTCTGTCTATTTTCTTAAATTAAAGAAGGGTCACTACGTTTCCTTACTTATTGAATCTACACAATCTAGAACATACTCCAGTTCATAAAGGCCAGCTTCCTAAATGCCGAAATGTTGCAGACCTGCAGGAACGTCAGATTCCATGCAGCAGTTTAAAGCCTGAAACATCCAGAATATTGTCCCTGAAGGACATGACAGCACACTGCTGTTACCTGAGACAGCAGCCATATTTGGGTTTGGGCCATCCCCTCCTCCTCCCCCTCCTCCCAGCAGCATGGAGGACAGCGGCGGCTGACCCCTCTTCAGTAGCACTTTATGGTCCTGCTGGCAGCGAAACCGCGGTGGCACTTCTCTCGGCATGTAGCGCGATGGCTGCTGAGGTGCTTGGGTTCCGCCTCCACTACCTGTACTGCCGTTTCCAGCAGCGCCGAGGCCACCAGCGGTGGAGGAAGAACTGGTGTTGGAGGCGGGTTGTCCGTTGGCCACTGCCAGGCGCTTGGCATTGTTGCCGCCCTGAGACGGGGTGGCAGCGCCGCCAGGGTCTGAGGTCGCTGGAGATGGAGAGGCAGTGGCAGGGATGGGTCCAGGGCTGGGGGAGGCTGAGCTGCTTTGGGTGGCAGGAGACTGGGCAGCAGCCGGCTTGGTCACGTCTGTCACTAGAGGAAAAGCAATGCAGAAAGAATTCCGTAAAAGTAAAAAAAAAAAAAAAATCCACTGGACTTGGTTTCCAGGATTTGAAGATGTTTCTCTACCTCTCCAGGAAGCTTTCTCAATTCAAATGTCAATGACATTTGAATTAAAAAAGCTTTCACGGAATTACTATGACCTGGATGACTGAGAATCTTCATCAGCACAATGCAGAAAGAAAGATGAGAAAAACTGGAAGCACTGGTAGGGGATTATCTACGACTGGTAGAAACAAAACCCAATAAATGGAGTCAACCAGAGACGCCATCAAACAATTTCTGGAGCTGACTCTGGACCCAGTCGAGTGTTATCAATTCAACACCTGATGTTTTTATTTTTTTGTTTTTCAATTTGAATTATTTCCATTAATTTAAAACAATCAATAGTTTCACAAAAAATCAGGTTACTAATTGCATAAAAAGTAAAAATTAGAAAGGCCATTGAAAGTGATAAAAAGATTATTAAATTAGGGAAAGCCAAAATATAGGGCTAAAATAAGCCAATTAAGGGATTTATTTCAGCAAAGCTGAATTAAAATGCTCTTGTACCAATTAATTTTTTTTCTTCAAAAAACTACCAATAGTACCAATGGATTTGATAGAGTTCACTTTTAAAAGAATCAAAATGTAAACAACATTTCTAATAAGATTATAAATCTAAAAGGAAACCAAACCCAACCAAAAAATTTATGCTAGAGAAAGAAATTAATATTGCAAACTACCAACATGATCACAAAAAAAAAAACATGCGAACAAGATACACAAGTAGATAAGGTGACATGCAAGTATACGGACAGACATGCTGCTTACCTTTGTTTTTTTGCTCTGCAACCTATGATGGAAAGAAAACAAAATGTTTCCGAATTAATTTTTATACTTAAAAATACACCCAAAACATACAGAAAATAACTTGATGTCAGGAAACTACCTCAGCAATATTAAATGCTTTCTCGATACGTTCTCATATCAACTGAATAACTGGTATCAAACATTTTAAATCGATGCATAAATCCCAGTTTATTTTTTAAAGATGAATAAAAACTAATTATTACAGTCTCTGCCAGCAAGTTATATTTTAAGAGAACAATAAATAACAGGAAGAAAACGTGGTACCCATCCCTAACTACATTTGACCCTTTACTAGGTATATCCTATTTCCATAAATTTCAATGTAAACAGTTTCCAGTTTTTTTTGTCTGAGCTCTCAAACCACGTTACACCGGAGCCATGTCCAGTTGCATGTAATGATTAGTACAAGTCATTTATCCTATATAGCCCAAGGATAAAGATAAAGGATGACAGAAGGAACATGACTGTGTTTAATACTTGTCACTGATTTTGTACCCAAAAACTTAATTTATTTAACTTGATTTATTGTCCAACCCCAATTAAAAAAAAAAGTTAATTTTATTCAGTGATGTAACTTTTGAATAAATTTTTTGTATTTTAATGTACGCTGCATTCTGTAGTAACAGCGTTGGCAACCGATTGACACTCCGGCCGAACACAAAGGGCCGCAGAACGTCGGCTACATTAGCTCTGTAGGCCGTGCTGCTCAGTTAAGATTCAACGGCAAAGTTTAACAAAAAAAATGATCGCCCACATAAACGTGACCAAACGTCTCATTTTGAATTATCATGGCAGAAGCTCCTCTTATACCCCTTTAACGCTGTCGGAAAAAGTGGTTTAAACCCGGGACCAATCGGCTTTTAGTGGCAGAGGGAACTGCTCACTGAAGCATGTTTACGCGGCTCAAACAACTCAGCGAGCGGCTGGTGTTAAAAATGCATCGGCTCTCATCGGCATGCTGTGGATCACCAGAGCGGGTTGTCCCGCTAAACTAGGTGACACCATTGCGCGCAACGTACAGATGTCAACACACCAAGCCAGCCACGTCTGATCTAACAAGCTGGAACAACTCTGTTTACATTCGTTAAACATGAAGCAGCGCTGGTGAGAGGGATTTGGAAAGATAACAGAGCAAAACAATAAAGCATACTTACTATGCCCTGCATTCCTAACATGTTGCTCTTCGCTATTTATTTTTATGATTTCTGTCACACTGGTGACAGTATCAATGCTAAACCAGCGTGATGGTGTCACCAGACACGCAGGAGAGGAAGCACAGAAGCCTCCCAGCTTGCCAGCGAGGGGTTAGTCCCAGCTTTCTTTGCCAGGCAAGGGAGCAAAATACTTATTTTTAGCAGGTTGAAAAATCCCCGTAAACTCTGTACTTTCAATGGAAAAGAGGCTTTACTTCATCACCCCATCCAGGAAGTGATGACTCCAACTAAAAAGCTGAGCAAACTCCGAAGATTTGCAATGAGCACTGTGCTCGGTCTGAATACACCTTAAAGCTTCCTATGATGAACTTACCAAAAGTTAAGATTTCTGTGAATTGATTGGGACCTAAAGTCTGTATTTTAAGAGCTAGTTATGAGATTATAATTGTTTTACTAGTCATTATAATTGTTTTACTAGTCATTATAATGGCTTTTGAATATAGACTTTCAGGCTTAGATGTGTTTGTTTTCTTGATAATATAAACGTTAGACATGAAAAAAGAAACTGCAAGAGGCAATAAACCATGGACTGAAGAATAGGAGGATGCAGAGATAATCCTCTCTTTAAGTGCATTGAATTGTTTAGCTTGCACCTAAAATAAAAAAGTGTTTTATCTAAAAAACAATAACTTCCAAAATGTAAAGCCCATATCACACCTTGACGATTTAGACTAGCGTAGCGTCGTTGGATAAGCTATGGGTACGTTTTGTATAAGTAAAGAGCACGTAAGTCGTGATGTCTAGCTTATCCAAAACCTATGAGTAACTTCTCCTACAGACTTCATCCCCATCAAAGGGTGAGCCTAAAGGTTAGTGTGATGGATCCTCCCTGCGTTCACGCCCATAACCAAAAAAACCTCCTAGCAGACATGATGCTGAATCTGCTGTGATTGCAAACCTTTTTAGTTTTTGTTCATTCTTTTTTTTGGCTGGCAGTATCATTGCTTCATCGCATCGCTTTTACTGATGCCATATAATGCTGCTCAAGCATCGTTTCATGGGCATCACGCTGTTGTGCATTAAGCATAATGCTACGTTCACACTGGACGCAGCAAAAGCAGCAAAATCGCGTCTGCTGCTTCATTTTTGCTGCTTGTTCCAGTTAGTTCTGACGCGCGGCTGAAGCAGCTTTGCTGCTCTGGCTGCGCGGTGCAAAAGTGTGTCTGACGCGCGTTGGGCGGAGCTTCACTATCCTTTCTCTGCCTTGCAGCTATATTTGCTGTGATCAGTGGGAATAAAGTAGTTTTAATATGATTTTAAGTGAGAAAATACACCTTAAAAAACGTAATCAGTGCAGTCAGTTCATTCAGATTATTCTCCTGCCTTGCAATATTTTTTCTGTCGGAGCCGCTCAGACCCCCACATACCAGCGGTGCGCCGAGAAACACCTACCACGGCAGCTGGTAGGTGTTTTTCATCTAAATAATCCAAACTGCAGGCAGCAGGATAATAAAAGCCAACATATTCTGCCGGCAGATTTCAGCATTTTAAGTTAATTTTGGCGTCAATAAACTGTTTAAGAGGAGTGATCACAGCGCTCTGATCATCAGCGCTGTGTCTCTCTCCCTGCCAGCTCCCAGATCAGCTTCTCTGATTGGTTGACGCGGCGCGTCGAGCAGCAAAAATTAAATTTTTCCATCTCGAGCAGCAGCGCTTTTGCGGCGCGTCAGATGCTTAAACGCGCCCGACGCGATGCTTCAGCTGCTCAGACGCGCTGCACCTGCTGCTCAAAACGCACCGCGGGACCTTTTGCTGCGCCTTGACGCGCGTCAACCATTGACTTTGCATGTAAACTCGCTGCTTCTGTCGCGCCAGCTGCGTCCGGTGTGAACGCAGCATAAGTTAGGCTTTTGTTGGAAGTTTTGGACTCGTAATGAATATGCCCAAAATTGAAAAATGACAAAGAAAGTTCAGGGTATGGCAGCGTTTTAGGAGATTCTAGGATGTCGGGCATACGCTGTCTACATCAGCAAGGTGACAGGGCCCTAAGTTTTATTGACTTGGCAAAATAAAGTTAAGAAGTTTGTAACGGCATCTGTTGTTGGCTTTCTTGGCACTTTTTCTGAGCCTTCTATATTGTTTGTGTCAATATCAGAATCATATCGTTCAACTGAAATTGAGACATACATGATAATATAATACATTTTGGCTGTATTGTTGAGTCCTACTTTGGATATGTGGATTACTTAGGCTCTTACCAACTTCTAGTAAAACTTACCTTCTGAGAGGCTTCCCTTTTCCGTTTTTCTTCTTTTTTCCTTTTCTTGTCTTCCATGAACTGCTGCTCCTGACCAGACTCTCGTTTCTGTAAAATAATGAAAACACAGGGAGCCATTTTAAATGTTCATCAGTTAAAACAGGGGTGGTTCTATGAGGAATACAGGAGTGTTGAGCTCCCCTAACAACGCTTGCTTCTGTTAGTTGTTAGTCACAGTTAAATTACAACTTTCTTGATTTTATAATAAAACAAAAAACAAAAGACCCAATAAGGCATAAAAAAAAATAAAAGTGTCACTCATCATGGCCTTATGTGATTTAAAAAGTGCATTTAGAGGCCTATATGCATCATTTCAGTAAAGAACCAGCCAAAAGAGACGGTTCTACTAATTTGCCCCCTTATATATTATCTTTTTATTCGGGCAGGGCAATATGCTCTTGAAATCTTATGATATTGGCTGATATTATAGTGAAATTTATAAAAATTGCAAACAAAACAAATAAAACATTACTTCTATGTATCAGTTTACTGTGACTGCCTACTACAGCAATCATAGCCCCACAATGACAAATCCTGAGGAATATAAACATTTGAAATTTTGCCTCTTTGGGACAGCAGTTACATAAAGAATTATATTTTATATCGCTAAACATCTCGTAACTTAATTTAATCATATTCTTAAAATTTGGAAGAAAAAAATGAAAGAAAAAGAGGAACAATAGTATAATAAGTATAAGAAGTCTGACATTTCACCAAGTCTCTGGAGTTTTAAAATCATCATTGATTCTAATTAATGATTTAGATGATAAATGAAAAATTCTTATGACTAGAAACTGATCATGATAAATGATACAATAAATGCTCACCCCTACTCTTTAGTCTGCTTTGATATTCCATCAACAGCAAAACAATCATTCTAGTCCCTGTTCACATTAAAAAAATTATTATTAACGATTATTAATCTTGTTGCCAAGAGAAAGACGTTACTTGGATATAACAAAACCGAATATCTTCAGAACAGCTCCAAATGACACAAAACTCATATGGGTGAGTAGAACATGATGTAATAACGTAAAATCAAGGTGCCAATGTAAAAAAAGCGGTGTCCCCCTTTAATACTGGCAATAATTCACTACATTTGCTGTAAAAAACTGTAATTATAAAAGACCTTAGGAATGAATAGATTTGAGTATAACAAGTATTTTAATAGGGCTGGGTAAAAAAAAAAATTTGATTTAATCGATTTTGAATCGTTTCTTTTACATTTGTCTAAAATCGATGTCTAGGGAATGAGATTGATTAGTTTTATAGTGATGCGCGTGACGTTCACATTCAAATGAGCAGGAAAGATGCACTCAAGATTACTTCAATCCAGACAGCTGCAAACATAGCCAATCGGTTGACTGAAGACACTAACAAATGGGGGCTGACCAGCAACCACCCTGTAGTTGTTACAGACAACGCTGCAAATATGGTTTGCGCAGTGAAGATAATGCAGCTCATGCATGTCTGCTGTGTCCCCGCTGTGTCACATCTGCTTACTTGTGAGGCTTCACTTTTTCACTTTTCACAAACAAGTTTGCACTTACAAGACAGTTTTGTTCACATCTCAAGTTTAAACTGTCTGATTTACAAGTTTGCACTTTGTGTTTAATGTGACAGGACAAAAATAAAATGAGTATTTTGAAACGCAGTTGAACCATTTTCATTATTGTAAAAACAGATTGAATCGAAATGAATTGATTTAGAACTGCATTACTGCAAATCGAATTGATTCAGGACTTAGGCGAAAATACCTAGCCATATATTTGAATGAGAAAAGCCATTCGATTACTTTTAAAAAATATAGGGAGATAGACATTTTTATTTAACAGTACATTTCTTAAGTAATGAATGAGGTGTAAAGGAATGCAAATAGAAAGGCAGCTAAAGTGTCAATATATGGTATTGATGAAAAATTAGAAGCTATAACTAATGTTAGAGAGCTATAGAAGATCAATGTCTAACACAGGAGCTCAGTGCACTGCTGAGCTGGGGTTGTGCCAACCTGTTAGTTTCGTTTTTGGTTTTCCAACAGGCAGGATTCCTGAGCTTTCTGAGCTTAGGGCACTTCTGACCTCAGGCCTCGAGGTCCACAAAGTAAAAACTGGCTTCGATTATATTTCCATCAATCATATGATCCCCAATAATCCCCCCTCCCTCCCCAGATGACAGGTGGAGCTAAACCCAATCAGCATATGCTGTTATAGGTGCTGTTAAGATTTTTTTTAATATCGTTAAAGCTAGCTAACGCCATAGTATAAGGATACGTAAAGCAAACAAAATTAAATCCCTTAAACAGAAAACCACATATATGGTGATTAACTGTAAAACGTGCACTCTAATAAAGCATTCATGCTAACACCAAGAATGGATGTAATTCTTCGTTAAAATGAAGGGACGCTAAAGCGCTCTGTAACCTTTTAATCAGGACAAATGTCACTCAACTTTAAGTACGGTTAAGTAGAACTCAACGATCAGAACCTGCAAGCAGACGGAAGGCCGAAAACCGAGCTCTGCAATAGCACCGCTACACCTAAGCTAGGCTAACGTAAGCAAATGACAGCAGCTACGAGTAGCAGCCGAATGCGCTAAAGAGGCATCAAGCGTCGCACTTCACTGACAGTTGCCGCGTTTTGCATGCGAACATTTAATGACACAACCCACCATTAAAGAACAATCCAAGCTACTCACCTCAGGAATCACATAAGAAGATATGCTAGCTTGCTAGCTAGCTTAGCTAAAGTGCTTTAGTGCGATCTTTCTGTTTTTGAGGCATTCGTCGAGGCAACAAGGACCAGGACGCCTGAGCGGAGAGCCGAGTAAGTGGCTAGTGATGAAAAAGACACGCGAAATAATACGCCACTGGTTTGCAAATAAGTACTAATGTTCCGAGTGTAAACCCTAATGTGCGGAAGAGTTTAAATTTCAAAGCGCTGTGGAGTCGGTCGGTTGACGGGCGGCCATTTTGCTGCTCAGCATGCAGCGTCTCCAATGGGCAGCCCGAAGCAGCTGCGGGGATGCGCTCTGACTGGCTGGCTCCCATCAGGAGGGCTGAATAAAACACGCTTTCTGACCTTCATAAACTTCACACTAACTTTATATCAGCTCATCAGGGTTTGAACGGAATACAAATAAAGCGAATCTGCAGCAAAGATATAAGTAACTTCTTTCATTGACAGAATGGGTCCGAGAAAAGGAGTGACGAGAAAAAGGAGAAGTGAGGATGCAGCTTTGGTGGAGGAACCAGAAGCAGCAAAGACTGAGGAGAGAGGAGGCATCAGAGGGAGCAACAAATACATAGGAGCTCATGTTGGGATTCAAGGTAAGAGTTATGGAATCTCCCAAGGCGCTTCTCCTTAACCTGTTGACAACTTTTTAATTTGCGTGGTTCAGGGGTCAGATCTGGAAAAGGGCCCCATATAAAACCCTCTGAGGAATATTCATAAAAATCAGCTGCAACTCGCTTTGCGGTGACATTTTCATCCGGAAATGTCAAACGTTACTAGAGACCGTTACAGGGAGATGCCACACTCCATGGAAGGGGATTATTGAAAAAACAACAACAGCAAAAATTCAACCGAATATAGTGAAAAATACTGTTTTCTGACTTTAAATCTGAGAATTAAAAGTCGCATTATTTAAGAATTTACTGCCCAAGTATATGATTATTACTTTGATAAAGTAGGACTATTGCAAGCAATCATTCTATGAGAATAATCCTTAGATTAAAGTCTGCATTTTGAGCCTTTTTGGGTCGTTTTTTTTTTTCTAACCCTGACTTAGCCCTAACCCGTTTTGTCAGGTTGATAACTTAAGTTGGTGCCAATTCACAACACATGTCATCTCAGGGCACTTTACAATTCAACCAGATCATACAGTCAGATTGATTCAAAGTTTTCTATCTTAGGAAAACCAGTTGATTGCATTGAAGGCAATCCCTCACACTAAGCATTCTTGTAGCAACAGTGGAGAGGAAAAACTCCCTTTAACAGGAAGAAACCTCCAGCAGAAACAGGCTCAGTGTGAGCGGCCATCTGCTGAGGCCGACTGGGGTTCAACAACAAAAATTCCACCGAATATATAGTGAAAAAGAAAAGTTTTCTGACTTTAAATCTGAGAATTAAAAGTCGCATTACTTAAGAATTTACTGCCAAAGTGCATGATTATCACTTTAATAAAGTAGGACTATTGCAAGTAATCATTCTATGAGAATAATCCTTAGATTAAAGGCTTTTTGAGACTAAGTCAGAAATCAATAGCCTTTTTTGGGTCGTTTTGTAGTCTTTTTTTTTCTAACCCTGACCTAGCCCTAACCCAACAGGGTTGAACAGGAGCACTTGAATCATAAAAGATTAAGATAATATTAATAATTAATATTAATTATATTAGATAATGATATAAGATATTAGTTTATTATATTATAAATATAAAGTAAAGGAGATACATTTATTGTTAGTATACTGTCATTTTGTTCCACAATTCATACCAGTAGGTGGCGATAATGCACTTTTAAATTATTTGCCAACTACCATCAAACCTCACTTAAAGGAATAGTACACCCAAAACATGATTAGCCTTCATTTTCTACTCACCCCCATGCTGAACAACACTCTGGAGTACTTTTTTGATATCTCAAATGCATCTGGAGATCTGGGAGGCTTCTTGCTGTCTGCTGACATTCAAATAATGGAGGTGCCCAGCGCCCGAGGCAGAAAGGTCCATAAAAGTCCACAAAAAACGTTTCAATATTCCTCCATACTGCTCGTCCAATGTATTCCAAGTTTCCTGAGTGGGTAGCATCCAGAATTTACTCGAAACGAAGTCATTTAGAATGTTTTTAGAGCATAAACAGTAGTGTATAGGATTTCCTGAAAGCGCGCACATGCGCAATCACGACGCTACGGAAGGCCCATTATAAGCCTCCATTATTTGAATGTCAGCAGACAGCAAGAAGCATCCCAGATCTCCAGATGCATTTGAGATATCAAAAAAGTACTCCAGGGTGTTGTTCAGCATGGGGGTGAGTAGAAAATGAAGGCTAATCATGTTTTGGGTGTACTATTCCTTTAAGAAGAACAGTTCCCCTTTAATTCCGTAAAAGTTCAACAACAACAAAAATCCACTGGACTTGGTTTCCAAGATCTTGGAAACCAAGTCCAGTGGATATTTTTTTTGAACTTTTACGGAATGACTATGACCAGGGTGACTGAGAATCTTCATCAGCATTTTCCCCTTTAAACCAGGGGGTGGCAGCAGTGACTATTGATAGCTTCAACACCAGACTGAAAAACTCTGGAAGTATTTTGTATAAAATACTAAAACAAGAAAGGTGAGCCACGCCTTGCTCAAAGTCTGGATCTGCTGATCAAAGAAGAAAGCAGAGCAAATGAAGAAGGTGGGAGAAGAACAGACACCAGAGGCTGCAGACACACGCAGTGCCTTACTCATAAACATTAAAGGATTTTAAGGATATTTTTACCAGAGTTGGGCCTCATGTTAAGGAACAGTTCATAAAAACTGGTAACGATCCAGATTCTGTGTGAGTTTTAGCTACAAATGTAAGTCACCATATTGAGGGGAAATGTGCTCTTTGGGGAATCTCCGTGCTTTTCTAGTTTAAATTTCTTCATGGTCATTTCATGGTTTAGGTTAAGTTGCTTTTAACATCTGATTAGGCGACTTAACTGTTTATATTTTTTTAAGTTATCACATTGTGATCTCTGCTTTATTGGCTTTCTGTTGACTCCAGGTGGGATCTGGAAAGCGGTGGAATCCAGCGTGGAGATGGGGGGCAAAGGTTTTGCTCTGTTTCTCGGCTCTCAGCGGTCATGGAAGAGGCCTGCTTTGGACCAGAAAGCTGCAGAAAAGTTTCAGGAGCAGTGTTCCCTGCATGGTTTTGACCCAGTTCACATCCTGCCTCATGGCTCCTACCTGATGAACTGTGGCTCTCCCAAAGATGGTTTGTTAGGACATTTCATTTATGTAGGAGCTTTTTTTTTAACCTGCATGCAAGTTGTATTTTATTGAAGAAATTGGTCTGTTTTTTTGACTTAACAAGATAATGCTGCTGCAATGGATGTTACTGTTGGTTTTGCAGATTTGTAAGCAAGAGACGCCTTTCCTTGGAGAAGCTTCAACATGTCCAGTTTGTTGATTTTAATTGTTTAATTCGCACTGAGAAATTCTCTTGTCTCAGAAGATGCGACTTGGCGAAGCAACCTGTTAAAATGGCACAGTTACCTCCCTTCCCCTTTTCTCAAAGTTTATCTTGTTAATTCAGAAAAAAAGACCAGTTTCTTTATTTTTTTTTAAAAGATGAATTCAATACGTACCCCTCCTTTAGTTATCAAATTGATTTCTCTTCAAGTTTTCTATCTGTTAGATCATGCTTTTTTTTTTGGTTGAACCAATCTGTTAAAGATGTGTTTGAAAAGAGCCAGGCGCTGCTGGTGGATGAGCTCAGCCGATGCAGCCTCCTGGGCCTCAGCCTCTATAACTTCCACCCCGGCTCCTCTCTTGGCACCATCACTACTGAGCAATGTGTGAACAAGATAGCAGGAGCTATTAATCATGCTCACCAGCAGACGCCTGCTGTGGTCACAGGTACAGAATAAGACATCAAACCCGAACACGCAGGTTGTTCTAAAAGAGACCGTTTGTGAATTTGCATCCATCTCGGAATCTCCAGATTTTTCAAATGTTTTAGTTTGTGTTATTAATTCTAATATTAGTAACAAACTGTGCTAAAGGCAATAAAATGCCAAATCTGTATGCACTATGTTGATTAATTCTGTAAACTCACCTTTTTAATTAAAACACTGCTCTGGTTCTTTATGTAAGTGATGGATGAAAATGGCAGCTTCATTATGGCTTCTTTAAATGGGAAAAAATATGCTGTAATCTAAAATATAGCAGTTTTGCTTTTAAATATTGAGTCAAACACAACAGTTTCTTTTCATTTTGAAATCCTCTTAAAGAAAATCTGGTATGCTTTTATTTTTTCAGGTGTACAAAATAACTGAAGTCCGTCTTATAAAGAAAGTGGGACTGTCTTAGTCAAGTTGTTGATGAATAGATGAACTTTTGTTTTATTTTTTTTCCCCAATCAGTTTTCACTTTTAAATGAGATGTGGATAAGATAGGTGATATGAAATAGAACATTTCATCGTCAGGGCGGATTCCATGAGGTGTTCAGAGCTTGCTCTTTTAACTAAATACATTTTATTGTTTAGCCAGGCATCCCCAAAGTCGGTCCTCGAGGGCTGCTGCCCTGCAGGTTTTAGAGATTTCTCTTCTTTAGTACAGCTGACTCTGATAATTGCAGTTCAGCAAAAGTCTCTTTATCAACTATCAATGTAAATCAGCTGTGCTGGAGCAGGAAAACCTCTAAAACCTGCAGGACAGCGGCCCTCGAGGACCAACTTTGAGGATGCCCGGTTTAGTAAAAAAAAAAAAAAAAAAAAAAAAAAAAAGCTAGTAGTTACAGGTCAGGAGGAGAAATTGAATTGGTTCATTTCTGCCAAAGCTTCATAATATCTCTTAATCAATGCAGGTTTTATTCACCGTTTTTTTTTTTTCCAAACCTACATTATGGCTGGAAATCGCCTCCAGTTTATGGATGTTTTGGGTTTTTCTTTATGGGATTTCAAAGTCCTATTGGGCTTTGAAAGGCAAAATGATAACAAAAAGTGCTTTGTTGTTATTTTTTTGTTTTCCTATATGAGACCAATAAGCCCCTTATGTCAGTGGATGTGCAGCTGTTACCTGTAGACGACACTGCCAGTACTTCATTTTTATGTAGACTTCTTAAAAAGTTACTTATAGATTTTACCTCTTTAAGTAAGTTTTGCAGATTTGAGACAAATTCATAATTTGGTTATCTTCAAAACAATTTTTATTTATATATTTTTTTATGGGGTCAGTTTTGGAGAACATGAGCGGCCAAGGCAGCACCGTTGGCGGGAAGTTCTCAGAGCTTAAGAGCATCACAGACAAAGTGAGAGACCAGACGAGGGTGGGAGTGTGTCTGGATACCTGTCACGCCTTCGCAGCAGGTAAAAGTCACCTCAACCTTTTTTTATTTTTTTTATTTAAACTGAGTAAAGTTGAGTTGTGTACATTTAATTTGATATTGTGTGAGTTTCTGCTTGTTTATCTGCTCTTTCTTTCTTTGGGAGGTT